CATGCATTTAGTATGTCTAAGACACATCAACCAATTGTCATCACAATTAAACAGTGATCTCGGGTTAGATACCGTCGTTTAATCTATCTCCGGAATAAATATGTTTTATTGATTAATTAATACGCAATTATTAAGGATTAATACATTTTATGAATTACTTCTTCATATGCAGAATGACTAACTACACTTTCAATGAAGTTATTAATATTTCATAATATTAGGTGAATGCAACAGGAATTACAGATTTAATGCTCGTACTTATGCCCAAAGATTTCCCGACCGGTGCCATTGTTCACTTCAACAAGTGATAGACATTGAAAGGAGATCACGAAATAATCTACTTCGTTGTCAATAACGAGGAAATAGAATTCCAAAATAATAATTATCCATGAGATTAATTACAGTGTTGGGATTAATCCATTAAAATCCACTAGTCAAACTGAACGGCAAGTTAAGTCCCCCGAATTACAGCTCATAGATTATTTAATTCTATCCCATAACATCCTTGTCACATTATTCTATTCGTCGCACAGGAATTCAATTCAGAAGATCATGTACTCAAGACATAAATTTTTAGGTGGGCCTTTGATATGTTGAATGGAGATCTCGATTTTTTTCGGAAGGTTTATTTCAGCGATGAAGTAACATTCAACAGTAACAGTACTTTGAATAGATACAACAGCCATTATTCATAAGCAAAAAATCTACATCAGTATCGTGAGGTGCTCAATCAACATCTTCGGAGACAACATTTATAAGTTGACATATTCAATCGTCAAGTAATTGTTTTTAACGGGCTATTGACGGTCCAATGTATTTAGTATTCCACTAAAATGATTAGCGGGGATACCGTGAGAATGTTCCGATTGCAATTAGATTGAATGTATGGCTTCAACTAAATATGGTGCTCCTGCTTATTATTCTTGTATCGTTCAAACATTCTTAAATCAGCAATTTTCAAATCCACGATTTTAGACAAAGTCGATCAATCGTATGACCTCCTAGATCTCCGAATTTGAGCCTACTTAATTTATTTTCGTGGGAATATGTAAAAAATGTTGTTTTTTATGAATATTCTTAGAAAACATTGAACATGATAGATAGAATTAGAAGAGCTTGTGAAATATTAAGTTCTGAAATATATAGAAATATAAAGCATAATTTTCACCAGAGATTACTGACGTGTTTGCAAAATTAATGGTGGACATATCAAACATTTGATTCATAATCGAATAGATGCATCTTAAGTATACGATCTTGCCTTGACTGCCTCGAATCTCAACACGATCTTACCTTGAAGCATGCATACATACCTTCTGCAGGAATTAAAATCTTGTTGCTGGTAAGAAGGTTAAAACTCTGAACTTAAGCAGCTACGGGCAAGAGGTTTTACACTGTGCGACTAATAAGTCCTGTCAATAACGAGATAATTAATTATTGAGAGTAAGGCCCCCTGGTTGCTTACCTCTGTACAAATTAACAGACATTTTAACAACCAGTACGGCAATGTAGAAAAAATGATGGATCACAACATAAAAGCTCATTTGTAGAATTTTCCACTTATTCTGAATTCGGAATAAAAAATGAAGTTCGAATTTCGCATGACCATGGGGTGACCTTCCTAGACTCCTGATATGAGGGGCGTCCAATAAGTCCATGATTTTGAAATAAAAAACACTATTTATTTAAATAATTCTAATTCACTTTTAACATAGTCACCTTTTAATTATCTCTTCGTTCGATGAAAATCCGCATGTCAAGTTTACATGTTAGGAAACAAAAAATAATCTGAAAGGATTAAATTCGAAAAATAAATCGAATGAGGAAGTATTTCGCAGCGTAAATTAAATAATTTGACGGTTGCAATGGAAGTCATATGAGCCAGTGCATTATCGTGGTGGAAAAGAAGTTTTTTACACTACATAGGGTCGCGTTTCCTTCAATATGGCATGAAATCGATCGAATAATAAGGCATAATATTCTACTGTGATACTTTTTTCGGTCTATTAATATTACTTTCGCGGCTGATCGTACTGTCTTTTCTTTTTTGGTGTAGACTCTGAAATTTGAAGAATTCTCAACTCTTACTGTATTCGGGGGATCAAAAAGTAAGGATTTTTCTATTAAAAAAAAGAAAGTGAACCTTGAAATGGCCTCGCAAAGCATATTCAAGGTTAACTTCGTTATCATTATCAGTTGAATCCCCTGAATTACGTAACTTTTATTTGAAACATTTTTTAAATATTTTTCAAAGTTTTCCTACTGTCAAAGTTAAAATAAGGCACAAAATGAATGCATTACTTGAAATGTAGTTAACTGTTTAAATATTAGTAAATTACTAAACATCGATAAAACAGTCTATATATGTCTCTTGGTAGATATGAAGTAAGTGTAAATGTGTACTCGTAAATGTTGAAATTAAAATTCATAAGGAATATACTATATATACAATGCTTTTTAATTAGACAGAATACATTAAATACTGCTAAAACTCTGCCTCCAGATCGGTAACAACAACGGTAGTAAAGGCTGTCTCATTTTCAAGACGTTGGATCTACGTGTACCTTTCCACATTGGCATCACCTCATCATATATCAAAACACATATATATCTATATACGTCGACAGGTTAAGGTAAGAGAGCTCTCAATCATCAAAAGTAAATAGCCATTACTTCGTCAGTTTCATATAATCGGCTATGCGAGCCTCAAATGAGATTCAATATATAACGATCTTTATTTATAGTATTCACCATTCTTTGTTATTTACATACATTGATTGCTACCATTACGGCTTTTCTCCTCGCCACCGAGGAGGTGTTTATGCCTATAAACCTAAACCGTTACATTATGAATACAAATTTACTGTTTGACTTATTTACATAACACCCACACACATCCTTTATGTATAGTAGCTCATGCCTTCATCTAATGACCGTTCAATCGTTCAATCACCTGTCTGATTAATTTAATTTATGAGATTTATTTGATTACCCTTTCTATTTTTGTTTTTCATTCCTACTATTTGCTAATTATATCATAAAAGAAAAACAATTAGTAAAAAAATATTTAAGCTTCTATAACAAAAACTCAATGTTATTTATATTATTGTATATATATTTCTGTTATCAAGTTTTTTTTTGTTCTTTAGGTTAAATTAATAGTACATATGATTCCTACAAACAACAGGAAATTTCTTTCTCTAGGTTAGTGATGAATACCAGCTAATCAGTAAAATATTGTAAATCCGTTTTTAAAAAATCAGGGTAAGGCATTTAATGACGTCATGCGATATGTTAACGTTTTATTATTGGTTACATTTATCAATGAAGAGAGGTTATATTTGGTTGCGGAGGTTGGTTATAATAAGCTCACAATAAGCTCGTCGATATGAAAAATTGATTTGAAATATCGGTTTGTTTAATAAGCTAATCCGATTGACTGTGTTGATTAATCAATGTCGCGCTTTTTTTTTTAATTATTTGATCATAGAGCTCGATCAATCGGCCTATCCTCTGTTCTCTTCCTTATTTTTTTTCCTCTTATTAAAAAAGTGATGGATGCCATGTTGAATCATTTTATTCGTGATCTGATTGGTTGAAATACGGTAACGTGATATACTGTTATGTAGCAACAAATAAACGTATATGTGTAATTTCGAGTTGATATTTTAGTAATAAAAATTCAATTTACCATAATTCATATGGATCATTTATAAGATCATAAAACTAAAAAAAATAGACTACAGTATTATTCTTTTAACATTAATTTTATGACATTAGTATCGAGTAAATTGTTTCGTAAAAGTAAGTTAGAGGTTATGCTTTGAAATTGTTCTAATTATTTTCTATTGCTAATCGATAATCTGGTTCTTAAATGTGTAAGATTGAAATAAATGTCATAATCATAAATCATAAATTTGGAAACGTAGAACTGTTTGACTATACAGATTTTTCCGCTGTAATATATGGTTGGTAAAAAAATTAAAAATCTACATTTGAAAAAATAGTAAGTTATGTTAAAGATATCAATAAAAATAAAAATAAAAATAATATAATAGCGTACGGAACGCGTCTGCTCTTATATTTAAAAATTATAGTTGACCGAATAAAAACATTTTATTCGTTATCTAATTGAGTGAATGTACGACACGTAAGTCACTGTTATATGTAAATCGGCACTAAATAATAAGCTAAGGCGTTTAGACTCAATCGATTTAATCTATTTATACTCAATCAATTAGATCATGAACAATTAAGAGAATTGTAAATTTATATTTCACGTAAAATACTGTGAATTGATTTTTGGTGTATTCAATATCGTTGATTTATTAAAATTTTTTTTAAAATTTAAGTTATAAATGTAAATAAACCATCCAAATGGTCACAGATGAATAGTTGAAAAACCATTAAAAAATATATCTGTTGATATGGAGGTATATAAAAATTTAGAAAAGTTGCAGAAATAATTTTTACGGCATATCTCAAAGTTAATCAATAAATACTAAAATAAACATTTCTCGGAAAAGTCACATTGAATTTGTAAAGCGCTTTTCTATATGAAACCAACTCTTCCATGACCGACATTTTGAATACTTGTACGAAGCTTCCTTTTCACACGGTATTATTGCTTTTAATATCGAATTTACGTTTATCTAGGCGAAAGAAATTTTACGAAAGACACGAGATTGTGCATTGAATTTAAAGGCAGGAGTGCAATTCAGTAGGAATTTTGCTAAGCAAAAAAGAACTTTTACCTACATGCGATTCGTTATTTATTCAACGAAGGTGTATAAAATAACTTGCTAGATTTGAAAAAAGTATCCCTATAAGGAGGCTGTAACTTTGAAGATAAAAAAGCGCGATAACAAAAATAAATTCAAACCCTTATTAACTACTTGCAGTGGGCGAAAATGAGTTTCGCTAAAGCGTAAATCCTGACGATGCCAAAAGCTAATTAAATGTCAAATAATACGTTGAATAAACCAAACAATTTCACTCACCTCGCTTTTATACATGAACTCTGCCACGTTGGAAATTCTGCAAACAGGTATGCGGAGAAAAACCGCGAGAAAGTAACTAATGCCATCTTGTTATAGTGCGACGCGCATATTGCACCGTCTCGACCGTTAGCGTGGTAACGCAGTCAAAGTTCGGCTGAAGCGATTTCCAAGTTAGCTAGGAGAAAAACTATCGGCAAATCAGCCGCACGGATTGGCTGTAAATTACAAGTTTCTCTTGAGCTCGTTTGCAATTTTGCCAAAGCGATACACAAGAAACTCGCCCGGCCTCGTCGATAAGATAATTAGCAACGATCTTTCTTTTCCTTTACTGCGAAACTTTAGGCTGGGCGATTGAGTGTAAGAGAAATAAAAATCTTCTTCTTACGAGCTTCACGTGTTCCTGACACCAAATGACAGGCATTGTGTGTCGCTGTTGTTTAATAATAGTTTGCGCTTTTTTGCCAGATCAATCAACAGGTTCGCGTTTAATTTTGTTTTTTCTTGTTTTTGTTATTGCAAAAGTTAATGTTAATGAATCCCGCACCGCCTGGACGTCAACGTATTATGCGGCAGTGTATTAAAGTAAACATTTTTTTATACTTTCGCTAGTGAGCGGGAATTTGCATGACAGTGAGTCGACTCTCTGTTAACGTGTGCAATCTTTTTTATGACTCTCCTGACAACGTCCTATGAACTCGAAGCTATGGCAGCATGATATCGTTATTTGCTTTACGATTCAATAAAATTTGCGAAAACCTTATCGGCTCTGCATATAAACATGTATACTTTTTCGTCGTGAAAAATACATACAAAGAGCAATCTACGTGTCGAAAAGTGACCACTAGACACACAATTTTTTTTAAACCGCAAAACCTAAATAACGAAGATTGGCCCTGTTGACACTTTTTTTAAACACATCGTCGTCGCCGTCGGCACAATTATTTTGCGAGTAGTAGTAGCGGAAGCGTGCGTTCCCGTTTTTTTTTGGACTGTGAGAGAGCGAGAAAGAGAGAGAGAGGCACAATTATGAATGACGTAGTGCCGGTGCGTCCGCAGCCAATTGTGCAGCATTTCCACGAGTGCCATACATATATACCTGACTTGTGCAACAAAGGATCGTCGAAATTAAAAGAGCAAGAGAGCGCGCGAGCAGAGTTTCAGAATCGCGAGTCACTTTTTTAATTTTACTTTGTCGTGCTGCTCTCGAGTCTCGTAATTAGAGCTGACCGAGAAAAGGGCACACGAGAACAAGTCTAATTGCCGCAAGTCTTCATAATGCATTGCGAGCTATGCTCAAAAAAATTCAAACGAGGGTCTTTCGTCAATGAGTGACGACGGAAACTCTCTTAATTCTTATACTTATTTCCCCTCTTCGTTTTGCACGTCTAACGTTGATTAAAGTCTGAAATAGCTCACGAGATCTGAAGAAAATGGGCACGAGCTTTATAAAATTAAATAAAAACAAAGACACGGACACGCTCGGTCATATATTCAACTATCTGCTGAATATCTAATCACGTTTACCATTCGTTAGCGATGAGTCCTTTTTTGCCCACCTACAACGACGACGGCATCAGGGTTTCTTTTCTCGCTTTTTTCGTCTTTTTTCCGTCTTTTTTCGCGAAAATCCGCTAGAAATGTCAAGTTGCGATCGACGTTTTACATTTAATCCATGAGCGGAGTTTCGATGTCGAGAGAGACTTTTATCGGGAATCCAAAGTGACGTATATTGTTTTGTATTTAATTCACTCACTTTGGTCACTGTGAGAGCTACATCAAGCATTCCAGTTTTATTTGTCAACGCGACTGACCCACTTATATTGCAACGGCCTTAAAAATCATTAAACTCGACATTGTTTTAATCCTCTTTTTGTTTCGTATTTTTTCCCTCTGCCAGGCGTCATTCGCTCAACCATTAAAGATAATTTTATGCATTGTGGCATATATGTATATAGAACGCACTAGACTCGTTAAAATTTGAAAATCACCAGCGAGAGAAAGAGAGAGAGAGAGAGAGAGAGAGCACATGAATAAAGGATTTTGATTTGTACGGGGCTTTTTTCCTTTTTCCCTCGTTTCAAACTCTCTGACATTTCGTTTATTTCGTGGATGGTGGCGACCGCCTGAATTATAAAAGAATAATTAATGGCTGCAGTACGCCGCCGGATATATACACATAAAGATGCAAAATATCGCACGGAAAAAAAGGACTTCACATATGCTGAACAATCAATGGCACGGACGCAAAACTGTCAGTTTTAATTTTTTTAGAGGAATTATTGGTGATGCTTTTTTACCGTGATATTTTATGTAAACTTTACTAACGAAGCGAATAATCCCAAGAGCATTATTTGCTGTCCAAAGCTGACTGACGTGTTCGACAAATAAAGGAGCGGAAGTGGGAATAAGTTAGCAATGTTTTTTCTCGCTTGAAAGAAGATTTATTTGTTCCAGGCAATTTAATCAATCGATTTTCAGCGCTGAAATAAACCGAAACTCCTTGGATGAATGCCATGTATAAATATTGTTAAAATAAAACATTAAAATTATATAAAAACATTTGTAAATGATTGAACAATCGAATCCAGCTCGCGCTCGATGTAAAACGGCTCTCACCATCGGAAAGTTATGTAAGTACCGCATGTAAAATTATTCGTGGCGTGACCCGCGAGAGAGAGGGAGAGTTAATAAATGAAAATCCGACTATCCGGAAGTCTACTCTGTGTATTTTACATCAGCTCTGCAAGCGCTTTGAATTTGTAACAAGGAGCATCTCATAAATGTTGAGGGGAAAAAGAGAAGGGAGAGGACAAGTGGTGTTCAATTTTCAGAAAAGCCAATGAATGATGCATGAGTGATTTTAAATCAATTAAATGGCTCGTTTTTGGAATATTTTATCGAATTAAGGAAGTGAAAGAAAACGAATAAAACCATTTTTAGAAAGAATTGTATTGTCAGATTGACGTAAAGTTCGATGAAAAATAAAAGTATTTGATACGAAACCAGTTTACCCATACTTTTCAGAAATAATTTATTCCAGTCAGTTTCGCCACTTTCGCAGCAGTCAAAAAATCCTTGATATTATAGCTTTTAGAAAATCATTTTAATCGTTAATCTTAAAAAATAAAAAGTCACATATCTCAGGATCTGAATGTATATCTATTATTCCGAATAGGCCAGCAACTTGCCGCTCACAAGTGTCCAAAACTTAGAGATTTTCAATAAACTAGCGCCTCTCGCACCTATTGCGCCTCTCACGCCTCTCGTGACTCTCGCGCTCCTCACGCTTCTCGCGCCTTAGTCAAAAGGGTTTCTGTTGTTCGCACGTATAGGTAGGTCTACACACAGAGAAAAATAGAGGAGTAAAACGAATTAAGCTTTGTTGCCTCGGGACGCTACGGATGCAACATAACATAATAATTCGATGACTGAAGCGTCGTACATCGAAAGAGAAGCTTCGTCCGTAACTAACAAGAGCCTTTGACGTGACTGCGTGCATTCGGAAAGTTGCCTAACGTTGAAAATTGGCGGCAAACTCGCGCATGCGCAACCAACACATAACAATTCACCGAACAGCACAGCTGAGCTTTCTCTCACTAGCTAAACAATTCTCAATCGAAATTTGCCCATTTTGACGCGAGTCGACAAGGAATAAGCGTAGCAACTGACCTGAACCATTGATGAATGTCGACAGGCAAAACGACAGTACTCAGCTTGTCGCTCGGCGTACATTCAGACTTTTATTTCGACCCTGCCGAATCCTTTCGCGCAGTTCACGTTCCTGACCCTAAAGCCCCCGCTGACGTTCTCCGAGCGGATGTGCGTACGAAAATTCAGGCCGTTGGTCCAACTCCTAGACGCACCTCGGCACCACCGTGCCAGCAATGCTCGCCGCCATGTCTGCGCGGATGCGCGCGCGTCCTCCCAGTGCTAAACGATCGATTTTTTGGCCCCTGCGTAATGTGCTGGCACGCGTGGTATCGTGAGTCACGCCAAAAACTAAAAAGAGGGCAGAAAAGGCAATCTTGCGACGGCTGTATTTAAACTGCTTTAATATGTATGTGATTGCCACTTTTTTCCTCGGCTGCTAAGCACAGGTATATTGCAAGCTCTTTTTGCTCCTTATTTGTTTTTCTTCGTGAAAGAATGAATTATTCAGCTTGCAACTGAGACAGGATCTTAGCATAAGCGTGCATAGACCAGAGCGACAGATCCCAATGTTCGATATGTATCGTGAAAATGTCGAAGATCGCGTTTGCTGCGTAATCCACGATTAAAAATGTCGTTTGCAATTGCTACCAATAGTAGAGTATGAAAGAACATTGGCTGCTTTTAAGCTTATCATGACGTGCGCGCGCAAGTTCTCTCAAATCTCTCTCACGTTCGTTCGCATATATACGCACACTCGGCTAAATGCATCCCAATCAGCTAGCCAATTAATCATACGCACATGAGCGAGTATGTCGAGTAGTCTATTAGATAAATAAATGATTCGTAAAGCATCGACGGCAAAAAGGCTACACGTAAAGTTGAACAATGTTATTATTACTCTGGCATTCGCGCTTAGCGCGAGTCAGCATCCAAATTTGCATAGTTGATTTGACAAATGTTGATTGCGCGTGACGCAGCGTGGCTATTGTATTTGAGGCGCAAACGCGTACAATCGATAGTTATATGCCGCTGAGAGCCTACTTTATGCGATCGAGCTTCGGCGGCTCCCTCCTCTGTGAGCGCTCCAATGTACACGTCATTATTTTCGTGGCCTGCGTCGGCGCCGACGGCAAGCTTCCTTTCCAATCTAATCACATCTCGCACCATCAGTCTTTCCCTTTTGCCTTCTCGTTGTACTCCGTAAGAGATATTTTTGCGGAAGCTCGGGTTGGCTTGGCTTGGTCGTTCGGTTATACGATCAATCTGTGGACGCTCAGCTGTACGGCACACCAAACAGCCGCTCTGCGTATAATACACTTTTAAACAACTAAGTGCAGGCTGCAGGAGCAACATTTAGACAAGTTAGAGCGCTTGCACGCGTAGATTTATCGTCGATGTGCGTTTGGAGCGCAAAGAACGAGAGCCAGCGCCCACGGCAAATTGAAATAATGATTTAATTGCGACCTAGACGATTTATTGCCACGTGTGTGCAGGACATGGGACATGACGCGAGATGAGCCCAAGAGAATCGAATGTGATCGAGACGCGGAGTATAAAGGCGATCAGAATAGAGAAGACGTAGTGCAGTAATTCAGGTTAACAATAATGCACGAATGAGCCGTACATAATCGTCTGTTCAATGCGTATATAAATCGTTCGAACGGTCATCGTTCAAAGACACCGCGCCTCTTTTTCGGGCCGGAAAGAGTAGTAATGATCGATTTTGTCGAAAAACTTGCCCGGTTTCTCTTCGACAATAATAGGACTTTTACGAAAACACTCTGATCAATCCTATCTTGCAAGCGAGCAAGAGAGTTCGCTTAACGAGCTCATCTATCATTCTTTTCTCATTGAAATGTTTCTTTGCTCAGCTCGTGCAAATTCGTCGTCTATTCGTATTCCTCTTCCTTCTTTGTGGATCCTCTCGATATCCTGGTAACCGTCTTTTTTCCCTTCTTACTGTTGTCATGCGCTGTATTTTGACAGTCAGCAATACACTTGCTTCAGTAGATTTATCCGTTACTGGCTTTGTCTCTTTTAATAACAAACTTTCTCTTGATTGTCAATGTGCACATTTATGTATGAGAAAGAGAAAGCTTACCTTTGAGGCGACTCGACTATTTGGCTCCACACTCGCTTCCGACGAGTTGAGATTCTGCAAAGAGCAAAATCAGCATTCGATTGTGATCTTTCGCGTGGAACGTAAACAAATTCAAAAAGCGTCTCTTTACCTATTGAAGCCCATCAACTCAAAGCTTAATGATTTGGAAAGTTGGCGCGTGCGCTGAATTGCTTTGGAAAATTTACGCGCTCAACTTTGTCGAATATAGCTCGTTGCACATTTATTACAAAGCAGCTCTTTCTACTCGTCACCATTAACTTTTCCCGTATCTTCTTCATTCTGTCTTTTTTTGCTGTTCATTCCAAAGAATAAGAAAGTTTTCCGCACTTGAGAGATTAATCTTTATATATAGACCCTGTTTATGTTTTCATTTTCATACTCAGGCTACCAAAACTATGTTTTTTGTTCGGTGTTCTTAATTTTTAGCCGAACAAAACATTAAAAATTATATTACTTTGACTCGTGTATTAAAGTGAAGTTGCATTTCATACAGACTTTACTCATTGGGAATTGCAATTAAAACAACTATGGTAGTTAAATAAATAACAGAAAGAGTTACGCGTTGGTGATGCAACGCTCTTCAGAAGAGTACCTATTACCATGATAAATTGGTTCGAATATTGTCTATATAGTACAAACTTTTCTGCGAAACTTGGTACAACCTGAATATTTATAAAATATATAAACAGCACGCAAAAAAAGCCAATCTCTGACCTACGATAGAACATTCCCCAATGGGAATGTTCATACCGATTGTAGTATCAGGTACTCTCCAACATATATCGATAAAGCGTTTTTAAAATAAAGAGAGTACTGGTGGTGCCCTTAAATGTATCTTTTCTTTGCGTAACACGCCAGGTTAAAATCTAAAGGTAATTTGACAGTGGCACTATGTGGCTACGGCCTGGTCGGCGCTTTGTGCGTGTACTATTGAACTTGTGGCTCATAATAGTACGCAGCATCATACACGTACATCGAGCCAACCTTCACGAGAAGTAGTAGTAGTAGTGCGAGCTCGCTTAATAATTTTTTTCTCTCATTCACTCAACCCTCTTTCTTTGCGGAGGTCTAATTAGCACGTCGCTAAGACGTCCTCCTAGAGCTGATGTAAGTTGCTGCTACGCGACATCGAATAAAAGGGACCTTCGCAAATTACGAGGCACTTGACGGCGCGCGCATCAACAAAAAGAAAGAAAATCGAGCAGCTGTGAAAATGAAATTTAATATCAAAGAGTGGAGCGCTGAGAGGCAGAAAAAAAGAGCGTTGCACAAATGGAAGCAAGCAGAGGAATCGAATGTACATAATGCCAGTAGAAGAGAAGCTATACCTGTAACAATTATTGCTAATTATACGCCATGCTTGCCTACCTGTCAGATCAAAGGCATATTCTCCGGTTACTCTTCTCTCCCTCTCTTTCTCTCTCTCTCTCTCTCTCTCTCTCTCTCTCTCTCTCTCTCTCTCTCTCTCTCTCTCTCTCTCCCTACCAATGCGCCAAAGGAAAACGAGTCATCCATTAGCTTTGTCTCCTATTGATATAATATGGTTATGATATAAAATAAAAAAGAGATCGTATGCAATAGAGAGGGAGTTAGAGGGCCACTTAGAGGTTAGCGTAATTGCCAATTAAATGCTCCCTCAATATCGTTGCCAATTAACGGACGGCAAAAAATTCTTAGGTCAGCCTTTAATATCTTGCAAGGGTTACTCCTTTTGGATGCTATTGTGCGTGAACGGTTTGCGGCACTTGCCATGTCTCCATGTAAAACCTGCCCCTGACGAGGGCTACTTGATGAAAAAGGTTTACTCGTCATAAGATTGTTCATTTTTTCCGGCTTTAGAGGACGCTATTGGTAATCTGATTAGCTGCTTGGCTTGAAAATTATTACTCTCCGCGCGTCTTGCATTCATCATACATCGAGTTTATGGTGTATACATATACACATATACACACTCGCGCGCGCGCATGTGTGTGTGTGTGTGTCTGTGTGTAACCTACCAATGACTTCTTTTTTTGTTATTTATATGTTCATGATTCGTTAATACCACGATAAACTTGCAGAAACGAAATCCTGTATTTTATTAATACAAGTCTTTTTATGTATGTAACAGAAAACGGATGCGTACTACGATGGTTTCACTTTTTATCCATTAGAGCAATGCAACGTAATACGAGGAAATATTATTTCGCAAACACGCTTTTGCTGAATTTGGTTTCATTTTAAAAATCGTGGCCACAGAAACACATGAAGTGTGAATTCTGAACAAATCTAACATCAAAGGCTTTATAACATCAAAGGGAAAATGTATGTTAAGAGAAGGTTGAGAGCAAAAGTTAAATAATGTGTACACTTGCTATTTTCACACAATTTATTCAAACAATTATAATATTTAGCCGGTTTATTTCCACTCAACAATGGTAAGATGAAGCGCATACACACGTTCATATAATGACAAGAGTGACTTATTTTGAACTCGTTGTTTCAAACAATGGGTAGTTTTCGACTTGAAACTGACTCTGAATTTTCTCTTTTCCGCTTGTCGACAAATCAGACGCCATCACTATTGGGCCCCAGGCACGCGCAATTTGCTACGCCTATACTATTCTTCCTTTTATTCTGTCTGCCTGTAGTCATGATTTTCAAATACGTATGACACAAATTAAAATTTTCAATCTTGCTAAGTATCCTTCAGTTGTACAATTGCCATAACCTGAGGGTCAATATAACATAAGTTAATTTAAGATAACAAAAATAAAAATGAAAGTCTCTACCTAATTATAGATCCATTAAATTAAATTTACTAATGAAAGATTATCGACAACTCGATATCATATATATATAGTCAAATATATTAAAGTCACTCAATCGTAAATAAGTAAAGCAATAGCAGATAACTTCAACTAAAAATTAAAGAGGACATTTTCTGTGTAGCAAGTACGTTTACCGTAATGTGTGTAATGGCAGGTTGTCGACAATTAATGTAAGTCTTTCATTATGACAGTGCTCCGAAAGGAAAGGGTCAAGCCGGGTAGAATATTAATTAAAGCACCTTCGTGGGTGCTCTTAGAAGAGAGAAATAATTATGGACATTAGTCGGTAGAGGATCCGAGCGCGCGCTTCATTAAAGCTCCTGAGAGACACAGAGTTGAGACGACAAGTGGCGCGAAATTTCAGTTCTCGCCGACGAATAAGCGATTGCCGACCAGAACTTCCTCTGCTGAGTAATTAATAATTATTAACGTGACGCCCGCGAGGACGTGCTATGTTTGCACTGCTCTCTCTCTCTCTCTCTCTCTCTCTCTCTCTCTCTCTCTCTCTCTCTCTCTCTCTCTCTCTCTCTCTCTCTCTCTCTCTCTCTCTCTCTCTCTCTCTCTCTCACTCGACCGACTTATTCTTATGAACAAGAGAAATCTCTCTCACTTGGTTTGCCAAGCTAATCTGTTATTTACGGTCGTCGCGTTGTTTATGCTGACTAAGGCTAATTAATTAAAGCACTTTTGTGAAAATATATACTCGAGATGGATTTGTTCTGAGGGATATGAAATAGAAAAGAGATTACAGGAGGTTTCTTTCATGGATCTTGATTAAACGTTCATCCAGATTTTAAAATGTTAGAAAGGAGAGAAGTTTAATGATCCCCTAAACAAGGATAAACACACATTGCTTGCAATACCACAAACATTTTTAAAAATATGTACGGATAAATCGTTGCTTTCAGTTTATTTTATTCAAGGGTTGACCACCAGTTTCAGTTTTTTGATAATACTTTATAATTAAATAATGTCATTCAATAAATATTGTGAATTTACTTAAAAAACCAATTAATATTAATTATTTAATGTTAATTAATACGATATCAGTTGATTAGTTACACATCAAATGAATCACTTAAGAGTTAATTCCTGTAACATTCGGAATTTCGAACCTCAAAGGATGAACTAAATTAAATTCCATTCTACAATGTCTGTAGTCCAGTTTAAAAAGCCATTTACATTTTATCTTCGATAGCGATCTACTTACACAAAAAAGATGATTCAGTCTTCAGACACGCGATCACAGAGAATTTCTCTAATGGAGCCTGCTCAAAACCGCGAGAATAAAGGAGCGTGGAATTCGATTGACATTCGTATAAGTAAAGTGGAACAAATTCACAGTAGGATATGGATGAAATGAATAGGTGAATATGCATGCACGAAACGGCTGGGATTAGATTAAACGCTATACGGAAAGCACGAGACAGAAAGAGCGAGAGAGAGAGAGTAAGAATGGGCTTCACAACATGGTGTTGCGCAAAGCTTGCGAGAAGGAAGCGAACACTCTGCAGCGCCCGTTCCTTTCTCTCTCGCATTCTACGCTTTATTAGATTCGGGTAGTTGCTCTTGCATGAAATTCCCGGATCTATTGCAAAGCATTAAGAGACGCAAGCTCGCGCTTGTTTCTACGAGCGCTGCCTTACCATTGATGCTTTAATTTCTCTCTCGGCGAGAAATATACCTTTTTGATGGCTGCCTCGGTTAATTGGCTTGAGTCCGAGTCTTTCGTCGCTTCGTTTCTTTTGCTCTCTTTTCAAGTGTGAGCGCTATAAGTTTCGAACTGACACTAACATGGCTGTTTTGTAGTTTTTCTGAAGTGAAACTTATGATGCCACGTCATGCCCTCGCTGGGCTTCTGGAGTTGAAAACGAAATCGTAGAGTTACCATTCAGCTTTACCAAGAGAGGAGGAAAAGAGCGACATCAAAGATTGAGAAAATTTTTCAAGAGAAAGTTTATTTTATATTATACTCGTAGTTATCGTTTACGTTATCTGATATCAGTATGATGAACCATTCTAATGGATTAATATATTTTCTCAAAGTTTCTGAATGTCGCGACAACAATTTTATTTGAAAACTTCATATTCTGGCTAATTATGTAATTTAACAAGAAAAGTTCACAAAAATATCAATGGCTTGTATTTTCTAATACTGTTCAGGATAAAAGAAGCCAGAAAAAAAGTTATTTGAAGGTGTGCCTAACATTGATTTAGGATGTTATTTATACGTGATCTTTGGCACTAATCAAAAATTGATCGTTTTACGAAACTTTTAGTTCAGTTAAACTATTTTTTGCATGATATGATAAATAATATTGGTATTCGTTATATTGATACAAAAGATAATTCTTAAATAATTATAGTTACTATATAAAACGCATCATCATACATAGACTTAACAATAAACTCATATTAGTCAAACGAATGTCAGAATTAGGTGGCAGTGACTTAGATAAAATAAGCGCAATAGCAGCCGTGATCTGTTGATAGTCACTGTGAGTACAAGGTCGGAACGTCGCCTCGGCGAGTGGCTCCTGCTCAAGTGGCCTATAATCTCGCTTCGATCGAGCCTTCGATCTGACTTCTGATCCTCCCCGGAGGCTGCAGGCAATAGACCTTGAGACGATGGTTTGCTTCGTGATGGTCGCAACCGTAAGTTGATAGGATACTGTTGTCCTTCGAGGATTCTACAACTACTACTGCTACTGCTGCTTCTGCTGCTGCCGCTGCTGGTGCTGCTGGTGCTGCTGGTGCTGCTGCAGCTATTGAGTGAGAGAGAAGTTTCCCGACGTGACTTATTTTTCTCGCTGACCGCTCGATATTGATACGGCTCGATAGTTTCTTTCAGGAGATATTATTACTTTCGTGTGAATTCAATGAATATGTTATCTTTTGTTATTTTCAACTACACCATGTTCCTTTAGTCTAACAATATTATAGTGATCAAATATAAAGTTACTTTAATAATGGATATAATGTTTTACGACGCCGTACATTTCATACAAAATAAATCGATCAAAGGCTTGCAAGAGTTCATTGCAAAGAAAAATATCACAATATTCATTTTGAAAATGAACATGAGAATGAATAGAAATCATAATTCTTCTTCATTAATTAAAAGTTTAAAGATGTAGGCATCAAATCTTCTAAATGAATGAATATTTCTGTTCATGGGAAAAGCTCATCCGAAAAAGAAATTCATAAAAACGTCATTAAAAAATTTTTCTAGTCGTGAAAAAATTCTACATATTCAGCCAGCAGCTTTTACCAAAATTAAAAGTCTCTTATCATGAAAACATGCTCACACTTGTTCATTATTCCCCCGACGGAAAAAAGGATAAAGAAAAAACAATTCCATTAAAACACGATGAGGAAAAAATAATAATTAACAACATGAGTGTCGTTCAATTAAAGAAATATTATAAATTATAGAGATCTTACGCAATCTCCGATGATAGTGCTACAAGTAAGATCCGAGCCGCTGCCTCAGTAGCGTATTACTAAGCTTTTTGTCGTCAACGATGACTTCTCGTGCCTCCGACGCATTTTCCAAGCGAGTCACAAGAAACGAAATGCGGTTATTCTAGCTGCTGCTACTGTTATAGACGAGTTTCCCTCACAAATACATGCTTTCAATTTGAACTCTGTGAAAACATTTGAATATTCTTAATATTCTTAACTACGGAAAATCGATATGATTTGTACAAGATGTAAATTGTTTATATATGTTTTCTTGGAAGATATGCGTGTTATTTTTTATAATAACTCAACTTTAGTAAATTTAATTTTATAAGATTTATGTAATTTTCTGATGATCAGAATTATAATCAAATATCTGCAAATGAATAATAAAAAACAAATATCAATTGAGGTCATATAACCAATTAAAATATTAATAAATTATTCCATTAATTACTCACTACTGATTCTTATTTTAGATGCTTCTGGGACGTACAACAGTGAAACTGCCGCATTCTCCAGAGACTCTAATGAGTAAACTGACATTTTCTGTTAGAGAATTATTCATCGAATAAAGTTCAAAAAGGGATATATGTGCGGACGAACAGGTTAGTTTAACCTCATTCGAATATTTATTTTGAAAGTAAAAAAAAATACAATACAAATACCAACTTATCCTACTATATATGTACGTGTGTGCGCATGTGTATGTACAGCGTGTCATATTTGATCGTGGGCAATAGGACAACTGTAAACTTTGCAAAATATTATAACAATGTTTCAGATAAATAATATATATCCGAAACATTGTTATAAAACTTTGCAATATATAATATATAATAATAATATATAACTTTGCAATATAATATATAATATATAATATATTATATATTATATATAATAATTTTCAGAAATAAACAGTTGTATAGTTCACTAAAGGTTAACTGATAATGACGTAAACTTAATCTTTAACTTGATTTTCAAGGTTGTTCCGGGATCATCTATGTTTTTTTTAATAAGAAATCTCTACTTTTCTCCTTGGATTCAAACAGATGGAAAATTCTACGTAGAGATAAGATATCATATGCGGAGTCCGGGAGGGTCACACCAAAATCATGCAATATTCAAACAATTACTTTTTTATTACGGATTCAGGAATAAACGGAAAATTCTACAAATGAGATTTCATGCTGTAATCAAAAAAATTATTTCTACATTATTTTAACGCGTAGTAGCCACGTCTAGCGCGCGTTCATACCACCTTTCTCATTTTTTTATGTCAACTTAGGGGCTGTTTATAAACCGACAGTTTTGCAAACGAACTTAAATACTCTAATACACGATGAAATACATATATAATTATATATAATTTAAAAATTTCACAACTGACAACTTTGAATATTAAATAAAGAAATAATCAACTGGAGTACGAAAGAAGCAAGAAAATTATTTCATAGTTTTAAATATACAAATATAGCAAAAATTGTCAAATAATACTAATTCCTAAGATATTTATTGATGTGTAATCTTATTCATAACTTAATGTTATAAACAGCAAGCTTTAGTTACACTTTTACGGTAAAGAAGAAATGTATAAACCTACTTAAAATTGATTGTGTGCTAAGATTTTAGAGTTGAAAATTCAAATTAATTTATCATTTTCATACAAAATAATTATGTGACTAATTAATTTATATCTTGCTTAATGTTGATATACGTTATTTACGTCATTAGTCAGTTACAGTTCGCAATCGGAAAGTTAATTTATTTACAAAATATTTATATTTTTTATATTTAAACTTCACAATTTAACACATTAAAAATTGCTATTTCAACGATCTTTCAAACTACAATTATCCAGGATGATTATTCTTCATTATTATTTATTACTATTACTATATCTACAATAATTTTAAAATTTTTACAGATAACAAAATCTAATTATTGATTAGTAATAATGAATAATTTACATAATCTTGAAACGTAATATCTTATTTTTTTTAAAAGACTTATCTCGCGCCTAATCAAATCAGCGACACATAGTTATATATGCGTGTACGTGATGCGTCATATCACGTAACCGTCTTTCAGCCAATCACATCTCGAATAAAATTATTTCACTCCACAGTCTATCTCATTTAATAAGTAAGATTGCATTGGTTGTTGGGGTTCACACTGACTTAGGCAGCCAAGAAGTCTCACTCACAATCGACTTCTTACTGCGATATTCACAGGACCTATCACTCACGCAGCCCGATATCCCTGATCCGCCTAAGTTCACGATTGCAATAAAAAGGTAATCATCAGATAAAGCTGTGATATTAGAGAGATTCTTATAACTTCAATAAAGTTACATTCCAGAAAAGTATAAGAATCTTTTTTGTCGATAAAAAAAAACACTGTCTTCAACAATAAAAAAAGCTTTCTCTCGTTTATGATTTAGTACGAACATTTTTTCGATTCCATAGTTCTCTATTACAATGCTTCATGCGTTTAGTATCTCTAAGAAATATGTAGAATGACTAACTATCCTCTCAATGAAGCTGTTAACATTATAATAATATTAGTGAATGCAATAGTAATTATATTTTTACTGCTCGTACTTAAGCCTAAAGATCTCCCAGTCGGCGCCATTCTTCACCATAATAAGTGATAGACATTGAAGTGAGATCACGGAATAATCTAATACGTTGTCAATGACGAAAAAATAGAACTCTAAAATAAAAATAATCCATGAGGTTGATTATAGTTTTAGTATTGTTTAATTTAAAAGAACAAGAGGAAAGTGAAAAGTTACTACTAGGTGAAGGGTGTGTAGGTGCACAAATAATGAAATTATTTGTATGATAAATCGAGAATTTATTAGCGTACATAAAAAATCTCATAGGGAGGGAAAACGCGGTGAGATGGATACAAATCAAGTTAATTGTTATAACAATCCAATTTGTAATACTATTAACTAATTAACGGTGAGGCTCGCGTAGCCTGTACAAAAATCGATAAATTGGCCAGTTGGACGCGCTTAGGTTGAGAGCTCTCTGACCTTTGGACGACCAACGCTCGAGCAATTAAGTTCTCGTCGAATGGGAAGGTGACGCTAGGACGAAGAGAGGAGCACGTAGTTCCGACGTCTCGAAGACGGAAATAGCCCTCACTACGATACTTCCGGGTTGCCAATTTGGAGGCAGCGGGGTTTGGCCACACCTTATAGGAGCGAAGGGTTCTTAGCTAGCGCAGTGGAAGATCCGTCGCTAGCCCCGTCAGATGCCCACGAGGCGCGCGCACGGTGTAATTTGCAGAAATACATACACATGCACGCACGTACGATGAATATTGCAGAGAACTTGTCAGTAAACTCGTAGCTGTCACAGAGGATCGCACGTGCGAGACACAACTAAGACGGAGAGGTATCTTTAGGTGAGTGTGCATAACTAGATATTCAGACAACTGAACTGACGACAGCGCCTCTGCTCGCAGAACATCTCGTAGAAAGCGGCGATAAGTGGGTGGAGAGTTTTCCTCCCTTTTCTGCTTTGGGTCCTCAAAGGGTCCAGTCGGTCGAGGAGAGTGACACATGGCGCGTGTTTATCATTCGCTACCTGAGTGGAGGGCGCTAGGGTGACCACTTCTTGCAGACTAATTTCAATTCACACGTTTATAGGCTAGGGTTTCCCCGGTTAGTGTGAATATGCTCAGCGAGGCGATTGAGAGCCACATTTCTAACATGTGGACCAGGCATAGCTACTGTTGAAACACGAGAGCACGCACGTTTACTGCTTGGTTTCGGGTCATTCGTCCATCGAAAAACTGTTGTCTTAAGAAAAAGTGTGCAAGTGATCAAGAAAACTAGGGAGCGTAGTATGCGCGAACAGGTAATGATCCATTTAAATCCTCGAGTTAAACCGAACGGTAAGTAAGTTCCTCGAACTACGGTTCACAGATTATTGAAATCTATCCGATATCATTCTTGTCACATTACTCTACTCGTCGCACAAGAATTAAGTCTAATTAAGTCTAGTTAAGATAATATACTTAGGACATAATTTTTTAGATGGGCTCAAGACATGTTGAATGAAAATCCTGATTTTGTTTGGAAGTTTTGTTTCAGCGATGAAGTAATATTCAATAGAAACGGGAGTTTGAATAGACCCAAGAGAAATTATTTGTCAGCAACGAGTTCACATAGATATCGTGAGGTACTCAATCAACATCTTTGGAGTCAACATATATGGGTTGGCATGTTCAATGGTCACGTAATTGTTTTGAACGGGCTATTGATGGTCCAATGTATTTAGCATTTCACTAAAATAATTTGACAGGATACCCTGAGAATGTTCCGATTGTAGTTAAATTGAATGAATGGCTTCAACAAAATACGGTGCTCCTGCTTATTATTTTTATATCGTTCGAACGCTCTTAAATCAGCAATTTTTAGATTGACGAATTAGACAAAGTCAATCAATCGCATACCCTCCTAGATCACCTAATTTGAGCCTACTTAATTTATTTTCGTGGGGATATGTGAAAAATTTTATTTATGAGGGATCTCCTTAGAAGAGCTTGTGAAACGATAAGTTCGGAAATATACAGAAATATACAGCGTAATTTTCACCAGCGATTGCCGTTGTGTTTGCGAAATTAGTGGTGGACATTTCAAACATTTCATTCATAATCGAATGGATGCATCTTTAGTGTATGATCTTGCCTTGACTGCCTGAGTTTCTACACGATCTTACACCTTAACGCACGCGTACAACCTTCTGCAGGAGTTAAAATCTTGTAGCTGGGAGGAAGGTTAAAACACTGAACTTAAGCAGCTACGGGCCAAAAGCTTTGCGACTGGTAGGTCCTGTCAATAACGCGATAAGCAATTATTGTGAGTAAGGCCCCCTGGCTCCTTACCTCTGTACAAATTAACAGACAGCTTAACAACCGGTACGGCAATGTAGAAAAAATGATTGATCACAACATAAAAGCTCATTTGTAGAATTTTCCGCTTATTCCGAATTCGGAATAAAAAAAGAAATTTGAGTATCGCATGATCGTCGGGTGATCTTCCCCAACTCCTGATATGAGGGTCGTCCCGCATTCCCGATACGAATTGAATGGATGCATCTTTAGTATGCGGCAAAAGCCTTGACTGCCTGGATTTCTATACGATCTTACCTTAACGCACGTATACACACCTTCTCCAGGGACTGTAAGATTTTATAGTTAGTGAGAAGGCTTAAATACTGAACTTAAGTAACTGAGAAGAAAGGGTTTTTTACGCCGTATGATTACATTCTGTCACTAACGTGATAAGCATTCTCTCGTGAGTAAGACTACTTCGCTTCTTACGTCAGCGTTCAAACTTAATATTTCGAATTCAGAATAAAAGATTAAGTTTAAATATCGCATGACTTTGGGTTGAACCTCCACAAATGCGTATTATTTAAAAAGAAAACAAATTTAACCTTGAAATGATCTTCAAAATCATGTTTACAGTTAAATTTGACATTATTGTCAGTTGATTCCTGAAAAATTTTGAGATATCCTATTGTCTAAGTTAAAATAGGACAGACTATACGTGCACGCGCGCGCATAAAATGTGTAACATATTTTATGATAGTGGCAAGAATAAAATATATTTAAATTGTGTTCCATCATTTATTATCATTATAATTGTGCATGTAATACAACCTAAATAAAATGTTTATACTAATTAAAAGTTATTTCTTAATGGTAGCATATCCAAGTATAAAGGTATAAAACATTATTATAAGCTCAGTATTATGAAACCAATAAACTAACTGGTATGACATATAGCTCTTATAGAATATATGTAGGTTGGAAATTATAAGATGTTGTATATGTAAATAAAATGATATTTATAAAAATGGTCTCAATAATTAATATTGTTTACTTGACACTTAAAAGATATATCTTAGCTATTTAAATAATATGTAAAAAATACACGACATAGAAAATACGATTTGGTATTTAAAAAATCTAAGCGCATTCATTTGATTATTTAATTGTCAAAGTGAAATAAATCGATATCCATGGAAGTAGAATGGTTCCTAATAAACATATTATTCATCTCATTCGAGCACCCTTCGTCAAATAAATAAATATCCAACTATATAATCAATATAAAATTAATTGTCCGGGCTCTTTTCAAAGGTAGACCCAGGTGTATCCTGCGCTTCATTGAGTTTGCGTATTCTCTGTATTTCCTGCCTCCTAGTCCTACAAGCCAGCATACGTATGCTTATTAACAAAATCATTCAAACGCACACACATATATATATATAGAGACGCAGGCACAAGTGCTCATTAATAATGAACTTACCTGTCAAGAGCTTCCTCGCACTCGCGTTCCTCCCGACGACTCTGTAATAATCGGTAAGCCACACAGACGCCAAGTAATAATATAGGTATGAAGATTGCGAGTAGGATGCCAAATGCCATTCCTGCCTGTCGGGAGGCGTATTCTTGCTGACCTGTGTGCCAATGTTTTTTTTCTCTCGTTTTATTTCGGTGATATTTTATTCAATAGGGTAGGAAATATATAAATGGGATGAGGAATGAAAATTTCACAAAACAATTCGAGCGGAAATTTCCATTCCACACATTAGTCTCCGACTACAGATATCATAGCCGTAAAGATCGGCTCACTTAAGTTAGTTCAACAATCGTCGCAGTGTATATACGTTTCAAGCATGGAATAAAAATTTCATGGCTCGGATTTTTTCTTTTTTACAAACAACAATGTCAAAAAGAGATAAAAGCATCGTCTATTTATATATTTTTTTCATTTATTTCCTTCCTTGATAGGTATGCACGACACGTCCCCTACCCCCAAATTACGAGCACCTCGTCATTTCTATTCCACGCTCGTTTGCCTTTTATTGTGTCTATTACAATTATCTAGAAAGAGACGTTTCGATCAATCTTGAGAATATACGCACACCTGAGCGTTACCCAATACACACGAGACCTAATAAAAATACGTTTATCGCTGATATGTTTTCATCGATGAGACGCAACATGCCCGCACGGCTTTTTTATGGAAAATTTGACGAAATTAATATTTTACAAACGTATAAACAAGCGTATAAAATTAAAAAAATTCTTCTTCGATATCCTATAACTTAAACATAAGTAGATTCGGTAATTTTTAATTTATGTCACTAAAATAGATTTGTCGATAATTTAAAGATTTAATAACTATAGGTCATTTACAGCTGAGAAACTTGTTGAATTCTTTTGGTACATTTATTTAGTCAATAATACCGATCTGGATAGTTTGTTATTGATCAACTAAGGGATATTTCCGAAGTAATTTTTGCATAGAATCTGAATCCGAAGCCAGAATTTGTCGGTCACGTTAGTTTTTTGTAATATCTTAACGTAAAAGTGCAAAAAAAGCAGTCTTTTTTTTTATAAATTTGAGGTTTTGTAACATCTTGAAAAATTATTTTTTTTAAATGGATCAAATCATTTAAAAGTACAACTCTTACCCTTTCAAGACTCGTTTTCAGATTTCAGTTCTTTTCATCGAGATATCGTAAATTGAAGTTAAGTATTTCAGCAATTTCATGACATTAAAATACAGCATATTGTAACGACAGTTTCTCTAAACTCAAATTTCTTTAACGCTCGAGTATGTTCACCCGTGAAAATATAACCCCAAACACTAAAAACTACAATCCTTTAATATTTGAGCCCTGCAATCTCTGATGTTATTACCTCAAACCGAAATGTCCTTGGTATTAACTAATGTAAAACACGCAGATTACGAGGCACGATAGTTTAACATTTCGGGGTTTAAGGATCTAGGGTTATAGTCTCGCTTTTTATATGGTTAACAAATTTAAAAGTTATAATCTCGTAGAGTTCAGTGGTCCAAGGTTAGGTAAATTAGAATTAATAGAATTCAAGTTATGCCTCGTAGATCACAACATTCCAAGGTTATAAGGGTCTAGGGTTATGGTTTTAAAGGGTGTAGAGTTCGAGGATTATGAAAATCAAGATCGTAAGCTCTGAAATAATTACCTCTCAAGTTACAGGGCTCGAGAATTGAGGAAGGAGAGATTTAAGGGTCTAGAATTATAGTCTTGTAGGTTATAGGACTTAAGAGTGAAAACCATTGGAGTTAAGCAATCCGGCGTTACAAAGTGCTATATTTTAATACTGTTACGAAATTACTGAAATACTTAACTTTAATCTACGATATCCCGAGAAAAACAAAAATAACTGAAATCTAAGAAATGGATTATAAAGGAGAAAGAGTTGTACTTTTAGATGGTTTGATGTGTATTGAGAAAAAGAATTGTTTACGACGTTACAGAACCTCAAATATATAAAAAAATCATCTTTCAGGTTAAGATACCTCAAAATCTAACGTGATGGACAGATTCCGACTTCGCATTCAGATTCTATGCAAAAAATTACTTTGGTAATGATCTTTAGTTATTCAACAACAATCACATCCCGTAATTTTGCAAATCTGTGATAATCACCGGAATTATTCGACTCTTCAAAAATCTTAAGTTTTCATCATGTATCATTTCCTTTCTAAGGTAATTCGAATCCTAATTCAGACATTTATTATTCATAGTTTATTTGTAATCAGAGAATCTTTTTTACTCGAATCAATAAAATGATTTGCTGCTATAATAATTGAGTTTCATAATATAGCTTCCAAGCTAATACAGATGAATTTAATAAAATCAGCAAAATAACTTTGAATAAAACGCGATATAAGTACGCAAAAATACATTATTCTTCCTACATTGAAGTATAAGCAAGACAGTGAATGAAAGAAACGAAAAAACAAATTAATCGACCGCGCTCCTAAATCGCGCTGATCTTAGTAGTTATAGATGATGGTGTTGACGAAGTAGTAGGCTTAGAGCTTAAAGTAGGACTATCCTCCTTAAGGGTCAAATCCCACTCCTTGTCTTCAAAGTCAATATCTGGCTTGCCAGGTAATGGCTCGTGAGTTCTATAGACAGCGTCGTACTTCCTTCTTTTCCGAGTACCAGTGCCAGTAGCATCAGGACTCGAGCTTGACTCGCTGAATGGTGATGCGCCACGATATTTCGGTGGTGTTTGTCGCGATGACGAGAGCCAAGATGACTTTCCGGAATCGGTGCCGTCTTTTTGCCTTTGCTGCTGCTGCTGACTTCCACGGATTATCACAAAGATAATGCCGACAATGATAAGTGCCGGCAACAGAACTGCCACTATTATACCCATCGCTGTCCAGGCTGTGCGTTGTGTGTACTCGATTTGCCCTGGTTATTATAGATGGATTTTTTGCATTTTTTTTCCCCGCGGATGAGTTACAGGCTTATTTTGCGACGATTGTTGATTAGAGATATTGGGAAGCTATGGGGCAATGGCCTGACCAGATACAATATGAGCTTAGCTTATTAGACTATTTCCGTTTTTTAAATTTACTTAGTTATTAAATGCAAGAAGAATTGTTTCCTTTTATTGGTAACATAAGCTCAATTCTTGAATTTTTATAAAAATATTACAGATGCTAAATATATACTTTCACATTATTTTTTGTTACAATATCCTTTTTGAAAGTTTATGAATGAAGTGACGTAGCTAAAACTTCCGTCAGCATATTTTATTAATGTATTAATTAAAAAAAGAGAATTTAGGAGAATTCTATTTTCATTGCAAAGTCAATTTTGAAATTATTAACTAATCAACGTTTTCTCAGAGTAATTTCGAATTGAGAATTCTATATTTTAATCAAACGACGGATAATAACTGATTCAAATATTTCGATTGCATATCTATATTAATACCCAACAAATTTTGCAAATGACAGTGTATTTATTTATTTATACTATGTTTAATTATCTATATTACTGTGTCAACAAAATATTTCGAACGAGATCAAAGCAACGCTCATCTTGTACCTAGTTTTTAATATTTGGTTTGCACTTACGAAGACACTCGGTGTATCCATATTCAGGTAAGTCCCAACGTCCTTCAGGCAAACAAATTCTCCTTTGATCACCGACAAGTACAAAACCTTGATTGCACTCGAACGTCACTCTCGTACCCGGTATAAACAAGAAGTTACTTTTACGACCAAATCGAGGTGTTTCCAAAATTCCACACGATATCGCTGTTTTCAAAATTAACAGAAAAGTCAGATTTACTGCAAAACCAAACGTTCGTTGCAAAACAATACTTACTCCTTTTTAGATTGGTCTCCCGTATTTGCGTCCAGGTGTCATAGTAATTCTTCGTGAAATGCGCCAAATCACGATTCAAGCTCATTGCATAATCGTATTTACACTGATAAGAGTCACCGCAGTAGTCATGTGCATTGCGAATATCCTCCTGCCTAGAAAATCCAGAGATCGTATAATGTAATTTCCATTTTGTCGACTTCAAATTGAATTCGAAATTATATTCTACTACGCGAACGAGATTGAAAAAACCATACCGAGTACTGTTCAGAAATTCTTCAGGCATTTTTCTCCATTCAGGTTCGAACGTTTTGTTGTTGTAATAACTGGCAGTACGTCCAGACTCGCGATGAAATAAAGCCCCACCTTTAGTTGGATCTTCTTTATCCTCTAACATCCATTTTATGGCAAAGTCTTTGTGCACCGTTTCAAAATTATTCAAATTGCTGCTAGACGTTATTAGATTATCTGGACTAGTCAGGTCATCAATGATGTCATGACTCCAGTTACCAAGCAGTCCTTTAGTTTTATTCTTCGAGAACAAGAAATTGTAATTTTATTATTTCGAGCAACGAAAAAAAAAAAAAAATATTATACCATGTAAGTCCAAGGTAGATACACTCGAGCTGACATAAAACCTTGATTTTCTATAACTTCAACACCAGCACCGGTATCGAACATTATTATAACTTCACTTTGATTGAGAATATAGTTGGGAGTGTAGACAATGACACCAGGGAAATGTTGAACTTTTAGAGAATTCCGATCAAAGTATACACGCTTGCCGTTGCTGAACACGTCCAATCGGTAACGCCATTGCGCGTAACTTGGTCTCAACCTCACTTCGATAGTTGCTGTATTGTTACCTCTCGCTGAAATCAACATCGATTAGAATAATCATATGCTCTTTGAGGTGTAAAATTGTGTGTTCAAAACAAACCTGCAATAGCAGTAAGATGTGTAGCTCTGACCTCTCCCCAAAAATTATCAAGCAACTGTTCGAACCTTCCCTGAATGTCGAGCTTATCCTTCAAATCATCTACCCTTACCAATACAAATTCTCCTTTACCATTGAAAGTGTATTCAAGACCATCGAAAGTTGCAATATGGGGATCACCAAATACAGCACCAATAGCCGGTGATTGATATGCAATACAATCCTGAGACGGGCGGCGTTCGAAACGTAAAGTTTCGCAACCAACGGCTTGCTCTTCTTGCCAAAAACAACAGGTATACATAGGACGAACGTCGTGGTACCACTGTGACAAAGTAGGAACTTTGTTAGCTTCGTTCCACGGTAAGAAACCAAGATTGTGAGAACGACGTGGCTTGGAACCCCATTGCTGATCATACGATAACATCAGCATACTGTTCTTGTCATAGCAACATTGTTGCTCGGAACCGTCCCAACTTTAATTCAACAAATATGAAGAATTAGTTAATGTTAAAACTTCGGACGTAATGAAAAAAAGTATATATACTTAGGTGCACCGGTGATAACGCAATGTACGGCACCTTTGTTATAGAAACAATCGGGGTTCGAGTCTTTGTCGCAGTTTGGATCGGCTAAAAAACGTCCTTTATCGGAAAGTGCATGTTCGAGAGTACAAGGACACAAAGATATACCCGCAGCAAAATTTTTGAGGTAGCGATCGTTCATGAGCCATTTATCACATAGGTAATGAGGCCATTTTTCACCGTATCGACGCTCCCATTGTGGATTAAAATACCAGCCTAAAGGGATGGGACGACTCCACAGTACTCTATAAAACAAGAAACGAAGCATGTGTTTAATTCGTTTCGTCGTTTGTAATGCAATGAAGTTATACACACTTACGGGCTAATTTCAAGATCATTATATTGATGAGGATTGGTTAAGTTTATCTGAATAAATCCAAATTCCATATCAAGAGTTCTATAGTCTTGTCTATTTTTGAAATTTGCAGGGGTTATCGTATATGCGCCAGTGTTGGTGGTACCTTCCTACAAACCGACATTACAGCAAGAATAAATAATCCAAACTTTACGTAGACAATGTATACGAACTTCAATCATGTTGATGTATTCGAGTTCAGGTTTAATGGTCGTCTCTCTATAGCCCCAAAGTGATATTTGCACGACTGCGGCAGTGTTACTAGTCAAGTTATACTGATTCCAAGTAATCTTTATTTCAGCCGGATCGCGCTCGTGAACAGCTCGCGTGGTAAAGAATATTTTCTCAGTTGCCTGTGATGGTGCCTCTATAAATATAAAATAATTGATTCGATTATAAAAATTTTATTAATGGTTTCAATAAAGTAGAGATTATTATAAGCTGTTAATATATTTTTTGACAGTCAAATGAGTAATTTGGAAATGATATTTTCGATATTATCTGGAGCTTGTTGCACTGAAAAATTATTTCACAAGCTGTGGTTATTTCGATAATGTTTCGCAAAAGCCTACGAGGATGGATCAATAAGAGCCCATGCTTTCAATAAAGGCTTTTTTCAACATTCTTAATATTTTTTGAAACCCTCTAAAAAATATAATTTGTCAAACTCTTCAAATAAACTTCTGTCTCGATAATGACCTGAACAATGAGTTAAATTTTTCCTCCGCGAATCTGTTTTCATGTTGAGGAAAATAAAAAAATTGCAGAAAGCTAGGTCAAGTACGTAAGTACAGTGGATGCGACAGTAATTCATAGTACAATTCACACAATTTTTCCACGGCGATTCTGGATGAATGAGCTGGTGCATTGTTGTAATAAAATAGCACTTTTTTCAAACGAAGCAGTATCTCTTGTAATTTTTTATCAAATTGGTTCAATAAAGTACTGTAGTATTTTATTGTGATAGCGTTACTTTATTCAAAAAATTCGAATAGAACTATTCCCATGAAATCCCAAAAAAAATCGTATCCATGATCTTTCTGGCCGATGGGACTATCTTGGCCTTATTTGGAGTAGATTCGCGTGGAAAAAATCTACTGTTTTAATTATCCCTTGATCTTTAGTGAATCGAGATTTCATTAATTGTTAGTAACAGTTCAAAAACTTCGGCGGATTTCGTTAAAAGGATTCAAACACTGCTTCTAAATTAGCATTCGTATCCGGTCATTAACCACCGGAAACAACCATCAGGCCGATAGATAGCTTTCTCATTCCTAAATTATCGTCTAAAATATTGATTACTGTAATGTATAATATGTCTATACTCTCTACTACTTGGTACACTTTCGTTCGATGATTATTAATTATAATATCATAAAATTTTTCAACGACTTCCGTAGTAATTAATATTCCCGTAAACTATATCCAACTTTGTTTATATTTCTTCAGGCGTTTTACCGTCTAAAAACAGAATATCGATATCGCTCTTTTCCTACTGTATCAAAAAATACTGAACACCTATAGTACAAATGGCTGTCAAATATCTTAGAATCACTTTGAACATTTGTACGGCATCGTTTTAAACATAGTGCACGGTCGCAACATCTACTAATTTTAGAAACATCACCTATCTTCAAACATGGATTATTATTGGTTCACTCCCGTATATAGAATCTTTTCTCGAAAGATACAGAAACGCGAATGTAGTAGCTATAAGTCCAAGAATAGATGTATTAAAGTGAATTACCAATGAAGTAAAATCCTTTCCAGTCGTATCTACCCTCGTTGATGGATACCGCCAATCTGACATAGCCTTCAGCCAACACAAATGGCTGCACACAAATAGCCCTATTCGTGTCAACATACTTGCCGGCCACTACTTCAGTGTCAAAACGACACTTGATCTTGTCGGTTGGTTGGAAGCATGGACCAGTGATATTGACAACTGTACCACCTAACATATTGCCACTTTCCGGTGCAAATGTCAATGGCAAATGTGCTCCGGCTGACGAAACGTAAAATTTTGTTTTTTAACAGTAATTATATTTTAAGTCTTTTCCTTGAGATCACAATGTAATACCCTACTTTATGCCTTCAATTATCATAATTTTAAAGGAAAAAACAAAAAAAAACAGCATAACTCTCTTCCTTTGCATCTCAGTTTAACATCGTTAGTTCATATTTTTGTGCCTTCGAGTCACAACATGTTTTTTCACCATTGCGTAAAATCATTGCATAAAAATGAAAAAAACATGAGAAGAAGTCGAAAACTGAACGTGAACTTCATCGACGCAAATTTCATTATAAAAGAAAATTTAAGGTTACATCTAACGAAATTTTTTTTGTTTTTTATTTCTGTTTAATAACTTAATAAAACTAGCAATTTTGCACTAATTATGAATTTTTTCATTCATTGTTGCATTTAACATCTAAGCTAAGATTAGTCAGTTGTTAGCCTATGAAGGTTAGCTTTTATACGAGCACGCATTTATTCAGTTTGCGTTTGCAGACGATTCATCGAGTTCGTCATCGGACTGGAGTGATTCATCTATTGCATCATGCAGTGATTTATCTTCACGCTCATCATCACGCAACATTCCACCGGAAGACTTATCCGACGTTGTTTCTAGGGCGATTTCAATGACTTCTGCTGTGTTAATAATTTTACTCAAGTTTTATCTCAAAGTCTATCGTCGGGTATTCAGGCTGACGAAACGCAAATTTCTTGGTCTACATCACGCAAAAGGAATCTGCGCTTGATGAACGTTTTTCGGAAGCTCTTGTTAATGTTAAGCGAAATGTTTCTGAGAAATTATTCGCGGCACAGATGAATGATCCGACAGTTGTTCGATAGAAACATGTGTTATTGAAAGGACTACCATCAAAAGAAAAAGACAATTTAGTTAAAAAGTACTTTTGTCCAGAAAACTGCGGTTTCATTGAATCTCCAAAAATCACTGATGAGTTGAAAAGTTTTCCATCTGCTTTCCACAAACTCAGGACATTGAAAAAGATAACCGTATTGTTTTTTAGTTAGAAAAAATATCTGTGTGTTTCAGCATTAAGTTCTATTATAATGCCTTTTATAAAAATGAGGTTATTGATAATGTACAATTAGTGAATATTCTAAGTGAATCATATAGAGTAATGCTCGATCTACAACTAGACGAATCATTAACCAGAAAAGCTTTGGTTGTGTTGAGTCTCAAGCAGGCTTTGAAAGATATTTTAAATTCAACTTTGATTGATGAATATTTTTTTAGTGAAAATCTTGAAAATAAAATAAAAGCAACACAAGTTTCAACAAATTCAACAAGGCATTTATGTCAATGAATAAACCTAATTCAAATTCAAAAAACTTCAAGGGCCCGTTCCGTCAACAGTCCAACAAACAGAATTCCTATTATGCTATTTTACTAATTTTTATAATCTTTCTATCGTTGATAACACAAGTCGATAGAAATAAAAAAAGTCCTGAACCAGAAATTAGATCTTACGTACCTAAAGGATTTAGTATATTTATGTTCTATGGGTTATGGAATATATATTGAATGTTAAAACTACTTCAGAACCTGAAAGTTCCTAATCTCAATCGCAAAAAAGCACTATTCTTGGCCCAGAAAAAATTTTTTTTATTTCCAAATTGAATTTACAATTTGTCTATGAACAATAAGTAAATGATATATTATTACGTGATGGTACTTCACCAATGATTATTATTAGTGCGTTAATTCTATGCTATTTTATTTTTCTACAAAATGGTGTTTTATATTTTTTAAATCTTGAAAGTGTTGGAGTTGTGTGCATTAGTTCCTTTGGTAGGCGATTTGGATGCTCCATTATTCTGCTGGTATACAGTGCCGCTCACGCACTTTTACCCCCCCACGGGCAAAATCAGTCTAACTTCAAAGTTTTATATCTCTGGTAGAAATTAACGTACAGAGACGCGCGTGGGTGCGTTTGAAAGGTCTTTCGGAGAGCTTTCAAATGATATGACTCACGGTTGCCATCGATTGTTTTTTTAAATTTTGCAACAATTATGCAAAATTGAAAATTCTGAAATTTTTTTATTATTTTTGACAATTAGCCAATTTTGGAAAAAAAATCGTACGAAAATTTGAAGTATACCATTTTTTAGCTATTACCAAGCCCTATCTGAATCACTCATCAAAAATTTATTTTCGTCAAATATGACACGCGCACGGGCATTTTTTCCTGGAAGTAACAGTTTTTTTCAACATTTTTTATCTCCGTCAAATTGTAACAATCGAAAAAAATTTATAGGACAAAAAATGTTTGTTGTTTCACGTAGAATACTGCAATAATTTTTTTTTTGGTTTTTCGAAAAATTTTTTTTTTCGGTTTAAATTATTTTTCAAGGTCGAAAAAAAAAAATTTTTTTTTTATGTAATTTACGATACTTGTTATGTAGTATTATTGAATGGGTGGAAAAAAATTTTTTTTTGTGGTTTCTCATCTTTTTAGCGTACCGACTGTGAGAAAAAAAAATTGAAAAAAACCGAAAAAAAAAAATTATTGCAGTATTCTACGTGAAAAAACAAACATTTTTTCTCCTATAAATTTTTTTCGATTGTTACAATTTGACGGAGATAAAAAATGTTGAAAAAAACTGTCACTTCCAGGAAAAAATGCCCGTGCGCGCGTCATATTTGACGAAAATAAATTTTTGATGAGTGATTCAGATAGGGCTTGGTAATAGCTAAAAAATGGTGTACTTCAAATTTTCGTACGATTTTTTTTCCAAAATTGGCTAATTGTCAAAAATAATAAAAAAATTTCAGAATTTTCAATTTTGCATAATTGTTGCAAAATTTAAAAAAAACAATCGATGGCAATCGTGAGTCATATCATTTGAAAGCTCTCCGAAAGACCTTTCAAACGCACCCACGCGCGTCTCTGTACGTTAATTTCTACCAGAGATATAAAACTTTGAAGTTAGACTGATTTTGCCCGTGGGGGGGTAAAAGTGCGTGAGCGGCACTGTATATGCTGAATGCTACTTTTATTTCCTCTTTTACTGCGTTTATGTTAACATTTTTTCTTATATATTCATTTGCTATGAACCATGGTACATCAGTAATATATCTTAGTGTTTTGTTTTAGAATCTTTTAATTATATTAGTATTTGACTTGATAGTAGTACCCCAAAGTTGTAAGCCATATGTCCATACTAGTTTTATTATGGATTTGTATACCAATAGTTTGTTTTTAATTGATAATTTGAATGTTCTCCCCAGTAACCAGTAATATTTTCTCGTCTGTAGATTTAGTTGTTTTTGTTTAGTTCAAATATGATCTCTTCACGTCAGTCGTCGGTCCTGATGTATATTGAGATATTTTACTTTATGTCCTTATGCAATTGATTGCTTATTTATATGTACCGGTGGGCAAGAAACTCTTTTTTAAGTATAAGTTACTGGTATTGATTTTGTTTCATTAATCATTATACTCCATTTATTAAACCATTTAAGAGCTGTATCCAAATATTTCTGCATAATGTAAGTGGCTGTAATTTCATTAGCATGCGATATTAATATTACTGTATCATCGGTATACGTGGCCATGTTAACATTTTCCATTTCAGGGAAATCATGGGCATATATTACGTATAATATGGGGCCAAGGACACTTCCTTAAGGGTCTGATAGGTAGACATCAGTAATTTCATTATTTATTCTTACCTTAACAGTTCTGGAGCTTAGATATGATTCTAGTAGAAAGTAGAGTTTTTTTGGTAGGATTTTATTTAGCTTATATAAAAGTCCTTGGTGTCAGACTTTATCAAAAACTTAAGCAACATCAAGAAGTACAGCATTACAATATTAATTTTTTTCAAAAGTGTTTCTTATTTTTGTAGTAACTCTATTTATTTGTTCTATTGTAGCATGATTATTACGGAAACCGGATTGGTGGTTAGGTATTATATTCTGACCGAATAATATTTTATTTTATTTTTTATTTATTATTTTTTCATAGATTTTAAATAGTGTGGGCAGTAGACTAATTCACTTGTAAGATGTAGATGCTGCGACGGTTTTTTCCGGTTTTAGTATAAGTATTATTGTTGAAGGAAAATAGTGTAAACGAAATATTAAATTTAACACGATAGTTATATATCTTACTGCTTTTATAGGTAATTCTTTTAGTAACTTTGTATTTATATTATTGTGACCGGGGCTCTTCGTATATTTTAGATGATTAATTATGTTTTGTAAATGTTTCGCAAATGTGTTAGTTTCATCAATACTTGCTCTTTGCCCACGACTTATTATTTTTTAAGATTGGAGGAGAGAAATGTTGTAGTTGATTTATTCTTTTAGTTTTTTTCCAAAGTAAATAATCTATTGCCTCGGTTGCAGTTAGGTTAGTTAAGTAATAATTTATATTTTCATTTTTTTTTATCATCATAGAGTATTTTTTTAAGTTCATCGGTTATATTTTGTTTTATCAATTTGCAATGTAGTCTGTTGCCATATCTTAATTTTTTTTCTTTGATTTTGTCGGATACAAGTTAGGAATTTCTTTAATTAAATTTTATTTATTTATAGGATATTCAGGAGTTGCGTTTTTAATGGCATTATGAATGTTGTTATTTAGATTTTCAAACGCAATATCAATATCGTGTTTTGTTTTTAGTGGTATATTACAAGCTAGTTTTTCATTTATTATTGTTATGTAGAATTCCTAGTTTGTTTTTTTATTATATAGAGGTCTATTTTTTATGTTTGATTTAATTGATGAATCGAAATCAATAACAATTGGGAAATGATCTGATGTTAGATCGAAACATGATTTGACTGTTAAATGTTTGGAGCATAATCCTTCGACGATTGCAAAATCTATTAAATCCGGCAGTTTATTTGTATCAGAGGGCCAGTAAGTAAGTTCGCCTGATGATATTGGTGTTTGGCTTTCAGTTTTCGTTACTGCATATAGAATTGCTCCTTTTGGATTTGATGTTATTGCTCTTGAACTCCATCAAGGATGTTTTGCATTGTAGTCGCCTCCTGCAAGGAAGCGATTTCCCAAACTATCAAAATACTTTTTGTATTATTCTTTGGTTACTTTGTGTTTTGGAGGGTAATATATGGCTGAAAAAATTATTTGACCGTTATTATCCCTGATGCAACATTTGTCGCTTGTATATATTTATAGTATTTATTAGTATAGCTGTTCCTCTATGTGCTTTTCCATGAAGATAGTTTGTACAGTATAGCGTATATTGTGGTATTCGTAGAAAGTTTTTATATGTAAAGTGCGTTTCAGATATTAACATTATGTCAATATTATTTTCTATAAGAAAAGGTTTCATTTCTTTGCGCTAAACCGTTAATGTTTTAAATTGCTTTTTTTATTTTTGCATTCATTTGATTTTGTTTATAAGCGTAATAAGCAGATTTCGCATCGTGTCAATTCTGTTCATCAGTTCTTCGGGTTTTACTTCAATAAAAAAGATTGATGATGGTTATTTAATTATTTTATGTTTAATGTTTATAATTCTTAATACTTCATGAATAAATGATTCTATTTCTTTTTTTAATTCATCGAGGTTTACCAACGTATCCATATTTTTTAGAACCGATTTATATGGTTTATTTTCCTTTTGTTGGAACGTGTAAAAATCAGTATTTTTATTTTTCAATTCTGTTACCGTTTGTGAAAATAGTTCCGTGTTATTAATTTGAATTTTTACCTCGTTGTTATTTAGTACTTTTAATGTGTATTCTTTTTTGCTACATTATCGAGTAAATTTTTAAGCGGGCAAACATTTTAAATTCCGTTAACAAAAATCGGTGGTGCTTTCGCGGTTATAACAGTTACAGATGTTGTTTATAGATTGTACTGCTCTAATTGTGTTATCGTTTTCTTTTCAGTCAATACTTCATACTGGTTGCTTGTTTTCAATTTGTTATTTGAGTTTCTCAGCCACTGATATGTGGTTGTCTTCTCTTAACGATTTTGTTTTCTTCTGGGCTATTTCTTGACCTTTTGATTTGCACGGCTTTCTATGCAACTGGTTTATTTCTTAATTCTTCCGAATCATCTGTTGATGTTATCGTCTGCACTATTTTTGTTGTTGAAGCCATATCGGCTTAAATATTTCGCAAATGTATAATGGTTTATCTTTGTTTTGTTTTGGTTCGATTTGTTTATATTAACCGTACTATTCTAACAGTCGCTCGAATTTTGGAAAGCAATTAATCGCACATCCTAACTGTCTGAGTACTGTAAGACAAGATATGAAAAGAAATATATCTTTATATATCAAGGTACATCGTATTAACTCAAATCTTGAATCACCTAATCTGAGGTTACGGGGTTCGTAGTTTGAAGAATTTTATTTAGGGGTTTGAGCTTATAGACTAGTAGATTACAGGATTCATGGGTTAAGAAAATTTGAATTTAAGGGTTTGAAATTATAAGCTTGCAGGTTTGGAGGTTAAAAATAACGGAATTAGAGGTCTGACGTTGTACAATCAAAGAATATGTGCTTCGAGATTTGAGGAAATACGATATGCCTTCATATATAAAAATTTTTTCCTCTTCGTATCAATTTTTCAGAACCAAGAATAATGCTTTCTCGTATTTCGAGGTTAAAAACTTTGAGGTTCTAAAGTAGTTTTAACATTCAATATGGATTTTACATCTCATAGAATATAAATATACTATTTCGGTTCATATCTTAATTTGCTGGGTTTCAAAGTACTAGCGAAATTTCGAAAATACTTAAATTTCAATCTTCGATATCTTAGTTCAAAAAGAAATCCGTTTTGAAACGGTGCTATCCGTTTCAAAAAAAATTATTGACGGTAGTAGATAACCACGAATATAACTAAAAATCGTATTTTTCGTACTTATAGGTTTGAATATCTTGAAAACATGTTATGTTGGGTTATTAATTCTGATGCCGGATTTCGGTTCAGCGCATCAAAATCTTTCAGCTATTCAAAGTCTCGTTTCTGGTTTAGAAATTTGTCGGCCTGTGTAATTAAGATGCATTTGCAAATACAATACTTAATTTATAGTTATTAGTAACTCTACATTATGATCTCGAGGAAGAGGCTTAAAATATAATTAGACAATTAAATGAACTTACCATATGTGACGAATAATTATAATTGTATGAAAAGTCTCTTCCGACAAAATCAGTTCCATCCAATGCTTTTACCTAAATGTTGTTTAGTAAACAACGGCCCTAAATATTACAGTAGCATTGTTCTCCAATACTTTAAAGAAATGACGATGTTAGACTGAGATATGAGGAGAGAGAGTTATATTGTTTTGTCTTTTATTTTTTACTTTAAAATTGTGATAATTGAAGACATAAAGTAGAGCACTACATTGTGATCTCGAGGAAAAGGCTTCTCATAATTACGATTAAACGTCACATAAGATAAGTTCGTTTAATGGTCTAATTTGTTAGAACATCGTGTAAGATCGAAAACAACAAACTTACCAATATCCTTGTTACAGTTGCCAAGCATGATTTTCTCGTCGATACGGAAAATATGCCTACCGGGAAAACCATTTACCCAGCCGCGACTTGGAAGGTCGCGCAACGTTGACATTTGCGAGTAGGGCAAGTACTCGTAGCTTTGCGTCCCATTTCCCCCGTTGAACCCGATCTGCGATATCAAGGACAAAAGAAAAACCGATTTTGATCGCGAGTATTCTCGTAAAAGTTCTTTCGCTTTATTTCAGTTGCGCTCAGTAGCGGGGGAAACAACTCTGAGAGAGCAGAATATTTTTATTTGCACCGCACTGATGACGCAGACTGAGCGTATAGATGAGATGAATATTGAAGAACACGCGATTGAAGATCGATTTGCTTACGCGAAACAAGCTTTTATCATAGTTTCCTTCTGACGTATATTCGACAGTTTATTGAATTGCTGCAACATTTTTGCACGTCTTTAATTTCTGTTTAATTTGCCTTTGTTGCTACTTATTTGAATTCTATGACGAAGACAAGAAGAAAAGCGAGCCTTATAATTTCATTACGCATGTGTCTAATGGATGGGTTATAATTTTATGATCATATCATATAAAAATAATTTATATTAAACTTTAGGTGGAAAAATAAATTGATTAAATTTTAGGACGGATCGCGATAAATTATATTTACTATGATTTTTTCGAACGTCTTGGTTAGAACTGCACGACCTATTTAGAAGATTATTTGAACTACAGAATCACTATGTAAATTCAACAATGCAAGCTATTCGATGAAAAATGAGCTACGTACTCGCAATTCAGTCGTTGGACTGGTAATGGATTCTAATGTCAAATAAAATTAAACGACGTGAATTTTTCATATCAACGTAGCTGAATGATCTGTAGTATTTTCAATAATTAATAAAGATTCACAATGAACAAAATAAATCAAATAGGCTCACGTAAGCAGGTACACCACCCTCTCCACCAGTAGTGTCACCACCTGCTTCGGTATGGGTGGTCCACTGTATATTAAGATAATTGAAGATCGCGTAAGTGTAGACTTCATCGGTAGCCAATACCATCTGAAAGGTGTTGGTACTGCCAAGGGATATATCGATACCACCTGCGAATGACATGTTCTTCCACGTGACAATCACCGCATGTTTCGGCTGGAAAGTATCCGCACCGACGACACCCTCGCGAATATCCCACACCAGGCGCTCGCGCACCTCCACACCAAACTTGTCGGTCCTCTTCTGAAGATCGCGCTCTAGACTGAAATTTAGTTGAATTTAGGTACATGATTCACAGAGATAAACTGATGATATCGTACCGGAAATAAACGCCAGGCTTGCGGCGATCAGCGTCATCTAGATTGAGGTTGCCAATGCGACATTTGCTAAAGAAAATCCCAATGAAAGCTGGATCGTTGCTTTTAGGCCAGTCTTTTACTGGAAATACCAGTGGATAAGTATAATGCTCAGGTGGATCGCTGAATTCCAGAAAACCATTCATCGATAGCTGCAACGATAATTAAGCTCTAAAAGTTCTACTTCACCATACGACATTTCGACTTGATTAGGTGGACATTTTTTCATTTTTGCTTTCAATAATAGTGTTAGTATAGAATAAGCTAAGAGGTCTCTCCCCTTTTATATGAAAGTCGTCTATTTTCAAAAGAAAGCTCCTGATTCGCAAGTATCAGTAAGACATTGTTCTTGTTCTTTGGAAGAAAGCTATCTCGAATTTTGTTAGAATAAACCGTTATGGCTTCTAACATCAGACGACAATATATAAATATACGAAAAGCCTAGTATGACTACTGAATTCCGCTAATGTTTGATAACTAGATAAGCAGAATTTCAACTAACCCTCGTGTAATTGTAACGAAAGCCGAAGAACGGCAATTGGAAGTTGAAGTTCTTGTGAATCTGCGCTATTGAATTGTGAATGTCCCTTTGATAGTCGCCCATGTGGTTGTTGCCACCCTTACCAAAGTACCAGTACATCAGTTTGGATCTGATTTCTTTCAGTCTGGTCTCGCTGATGACGTAGTTGGCCGGCAATTGATTCAAATCCGGCGAGTGCTGCTCCCATTCGGGACGGTCCGATGCATCTTTATTTTTGCCAAAGAAATTAGAACGAAAACTATTTATGAGCTAATTGATAGATCGATTATTTTTTATTTGCGCAATCTGATGGCGCTAAAGTAACATTACGTAATTTAAAATCAATACGAAGTTTTAGCAGAATTTTCTTTTGTTCCCTTCAGTATATTAATCTACTAACGCTCGTTAAATTGCAATCACCAATTAATCTTGCTTTAAAATTAATGATACTTGTATATAATAGCGACTCAATATTTCTGTATAAATTTGATTTTTCAAAATATTCTTTAACTATTCGAAAATCGCGCGAATTTCAAATTAAAGAACATTGACAGAAAAAACATTTTGAAAATACAACGTGATCGTATATTGACTTAATTAGGCCACTTCCAAATTTTTTATTACCAAAATGTTATATCATAAAATTAAACTTGAATGAATTACCAACGATTAATATAACAACTATAAAATATAAAAATTTTATAAAGTTACATTATTCATGCTCAATATATTAGCACTAGTGCTGGACCATGTGGTATTGATGGACTTGTGAGTTTTTAACTCTAGATATTCGATAAAATAAACTATAAAGAAGATTAAAAGTAATTTTTATTACATGATTGCAAGTTGTAAGTTGAAAACGTGTAAACAAGAATAACTCAATGTAAGATATGAGTAATAATAAAGCTTCATTAGATATCAGTAATTTTAAATGAATTTATGATGTGAAAAGTTGCGTAAAATCTTAATTAAATTGTTTTTAACTTCATTAAAAAATTACAATGTAAGAAGTAAGTCAATACCAAAATGGCATGTGAATTCAAACAGCGCCTCATTAAATCTAAGTAATTTCAAATAAAGTCTTTAAAAATAACTTTTAAAACAATGTCATTTTTGTCATCGCAAGTTTTGATTGGTTGGAAACATTTGATTTATAATGGAATATGAAATATAGAATAACTTTATTCAATATTTATGAGTTAAACTCCTTAAATTGCATTCTATTTTAAGAATCGGTGACTATAAGTTTTAATATAATGAGATCAGAGTTGTAATGATACGAGATATATAAAGAAAATTAACGAGACAGATGTGATTCATAGCAATATTATTACAATAGTACTGTCACATGAAATTACAATCGTAGGATATATTGCGTTATATTATGAATTGTAAAATGGCGATAGTGATGGAATATTTTCAAAATAAGAATCTTCAAATAAAAAGCTAGGTAAGAACGCATTAGCTGGTGCAATATGCAAATTAAAATTACGTTAATACAAATAACGCGTACTAATAAAAAAGTAAAACACATTGATAAAATCGGACATATATTACACTAATAGAAGAATAAAAAACATCTCTCTAATAATTAATAAATTAACCATTACGAAACCATTACGATGCACATCATTCTAGTAAAAAAGAGCGTAGTAAAAGTTTGGAATAACGAATGATTCGCTGGCGATTCATGCAGATACATGAGTTAACCGATAAACATTTATTATGCGGGAAAGAGATAAAACGAGAAAGTTTTTCCCTTCTTAAAAAAACGACCATCGGATGTTTTGAGCCTGGAACGACGTTTATTTTGAAATTAATAAAATATTTCAAATATCGATATCACGTATTAAGGCTTTTATAATCATTTATGATAATTTGTTTCAACATAACTATGCAATTTTTATAATAATTAAATTGAAAACTATAAAAAAAGTATTCAAATAATTAAAATATAACGGCATGTAGGTGGCAGTGTTGCTGACGTTTGTTTATAAATAGTTTTTGGTTGAAAAGAGGTTGTGTTCTATGTTCTTTAAAAGTGTATATAAATAACTGGAAAATTTGTCGATCTATGTGGTGTTATAATAATAAGATTTACACGTAGAAATTTCTTTTATAAATATTAATATATAGCTGTCATTTTTTAATTTTATTCTATTATATTAGATTTCCGATTGAATTAGCATTTGCAATGACCATTAAGGAAGCTCAAGGTCAAATATTTGATTACATTGAAATAGATCTCAAAAGAAATGTTTTTAATTACGGACAACGTTGTAATGTCTCGACAATATGATCGACTGGATTCATTAAACTTATATCTTGGAAAAAATAATAAAAATAACATTGTTGAAAATTATATGTACAAAGAACTTTATTATTAATGGTTGACACTTTTTAAACTTATTTAATAATTTCTTTTTATATAAAAATTAATTCTTGTTCATATAAAAATAAATTATCTTATAAAAAATAAATTATTAAAAAATGAGTAGCTTTTTGAGATAAGGTAATTCTTGAAGTAATGATGTAATTTTAAAACGTTTTATAGGAATTCTAGTAAAATTAAAAAAAAGAGGAGGACCGCGTCGACTAGGGCTGCCGCATCGCAGATATATATCCAGTGGTTTCACGCTATAATTAAGTAGGTATACCTATAGATTCTTATTCGTTTCTCGACTTACTAGAATCAATGTTAGTAATAATCTAATTTTAGTTGAACGTGAGTTATTATCCCAACCAATACTTTTTCTTTCAATGATTGCGATGATTTGCAAACTTTAACGATGAAATTATATAGGTTAGTAGATTTTGAGAGTGATATAATTAATTTTAAACATTAGCTTTTATTGCGGCAAATTTCATCCGTTTTTTCGTGCCTTAAAAAGCCCAACTTCGGTTCGTGGGAATAGATAATTAAATACTTCACAAAACTTTAGTTGGGCTTCATATTCGAAACTGCATCAATTAATAGAAGTTCATTTCATGGAACATGGAAAATAATCTTGTGTGAGAAACTGAATTCTAAAATCTCTGGAAAACTAACCAGTTAGCGCAGTGTAGGAAAATGCACTTTTCCGGGGCTCGTGTACCGCTTGGGCAACTCGGAAACAATAACCCTCAGTGCGCGAGAAGTACATGCAGGAAACGTAGCAACTTGAAACTTTATATTTTCTCCTTTGTTTTCCATAGTGCGCAATGTGGTTTTCGCGTCCCATGAGCGTCACACTCGCGACCGGGCGCGGCACCCGATAAGCCTCTTCATAGCTCTCTCTCTCTCTCTCTCTCTCTCTCTCTCTCTCTCTCTCTCTCTCTCTCTCTCTCGCTCTCTCTGTATCATTCGGTTGCGTGTCTCGGGAAAGAATCATACGAAACACAAGCTTTTCTTCTTACCATAACTAACGTAGGCACTATTCATCTCATCGGTAAGTAGCATTCTTGATGCAATTTCCGTTGCATCGAGTTGCAATTGCTCGACATTTTGATCGATCGGCATTTCCACAGCAACGGGACTAATACTTCCATGAGTCAAATCTTCAACTTCGGATATTTCAGTTTTAGCACCGCCCACTGGTTCGTTTAGACCAAAAGCGCGTTCGAATATTTCCAGTTGTCCTTGCACGGCTAAAATTGGCAGAAGGATTAACACCCAACATTTATTTGGATGCATGTTCAACACGACTATATTTCTTCTTTTTCTTTCTGCACGTTTGAATACGCGACCGACAGGTAAGAGCCGCGCCAGTAACTGGAGATTCGGGACTATACTCGGTTCAGCTCTAACAAACCGCACAAAGATAAGACTAACAGATAGCCAGAGATAAGGGAAACCGTGCTTATCTCTTTACTTCTCAATGCTGTGCACAAGGTATGTGGCGAGGAAACTCACGGACGCACAGGTTGAGAGAAAGAGAGAGAGAGAGAGAGAGAGAGAGAGAGAGAGAGAGAGAGAGAGAGAGAGAGAGAGAGAGAGAGAGAGAGAGAGAGAGAAAGAAACGGATGGATTGTATAGCTTCTTTGACCTAATTCACAAAGACCACTGATCTCTCGAACGACGTGAATGGTATTACATATAAGATGAAACAATATTTTGTTTAAAAATCACAGTTTATTTCAGTTTCGGAGTTAAAATGAAAAATAATAATTAGTTGTTTTTTGTTTGTTTTTAAAAGAAAAAGATAATTAACAGAAGGACAATAATAGAGCAAAAATAATCGACGCTGATTTTTGTTTTCTCATTGTTTTTCTTTTTATATATAAAACTTTTTTTCCGTTAATTTTTTTTACCTAGAGTTCATGTTTCGAGGAAAAGTTTATAAAGTAGAAATAAAAAAAGAAGAAAAAAGTAGTAATAAGAAAATCAAAACTTAAAGAGTTTGAACATTAAGTTGTACAGAATCTACACAAGAGATATAAACTGGATTTCTCGATTGCGCTGGTATTATACACAAAGAAATCATTACTTCCATTCAATTCTTATTTTCTCTTCCATATGAATATGATGACACTATTCTTCTTTTTAAGTTTGTTGATTTTTTTCTCTTTTTTCCTTATTACGATGGCGATGAGTTATCGCCGTTGGTGTCTAAGTAACCGCCCGAACCATTGACCACAAACGATGTACCCAAACCGTAGAGATGTCCACAGTACTTAGCATCATCGATGTTATCTTCAAAGAACATCTGACGAAAAATTGAATATAAATTAAAATTTTATCAAAACAGACAATATTAATTTAAAAAAGACGACATCAAATATATTTTTTGCAGATACTCGAAAAGTTATGCTTCAATCAAGTTAACAAGAAAACAAGACTGTGGCGGAAGCATATCCTTTAAAATAAGCCCAACCTACCTATTAAAATTAACTTGCAGAGAGATGTGTGGACATAGAAAAGCTTATCAAGTTTTTTGTTAATATTCCCGTTTTAAGGTGAATAAAAAGAAGAGTTTTTATTTACATCATAATGTTTTGTTAACTATGTTATCCTCTTAAGGTGTACTTCAGAAAACATTTGAACATAGATATAAGCACACCTGAAGGGTATAATCTAGTTAGCAAAACTATGATGTATCTAAATACGCTTCTTTTTATTTATACACCTTGAAACGGGGACATAAATAAAAAACTTTAGTTATCATAATGAACCGAATATTTTACAATTCTTTAACAAAAAAATTTAGTTTGAACCCAGAATCTCCTTTTCTTTTTGAATCTGGCAAAAATAACGCGAGCAATGTTTATCAAACTTATATTTGAAAATTTTTTCGGTATCAGAATTGTTTCCTTGTTGGCACATATGTACCTAGAGAAAGTAGATGGAACATACCTCCCTCATTTTAAAAAAGACCATTCCCGTTAAAAGTGAGTCTGAGCCAGCTTGATGCTGAGGACCCACTCTTTGTAGTTCAAGTTGTTCTGCAACTTCTTGTAACCCACCTTTCAAGTTTTTACAAGACTTCATAAGATACTGAAAGATATATAATTCAATTGTTATCAATTCTCCTAACTATGGATAAGCAGAATAAATAAAACCTAATATGTAATACCAACCTTTACGTCATAGATTGTTGGAAAATATATCCTCAAGAGCTCAAAAAACTCACTTTCATCTTGTGGTAAATTTTGATCTGTTAAAAGCTTCATCAAGTAACCAAAGTCATAACCAGAGTGAAAAGACAGCCATTTGATATCGTCAACTAACACAATTCCCGAAGTCATTAACAATTCTGCAAATTCTAATGGGTCTATTCCTTCTTCTTCGTGCTTTTTAAATTGAATACCACTATTAGTTAGCATATCTATGCTATCTTGGGCATACATGTCTTCTCTATTGAAATTCAAAATTCGATATAAAATAAATGTGACACCTACACAACAATACAACTACATAATAAATTACTTACTGCAAATTGAACTTGAAATTGAATTGCCATGTGGTATATCCTGGTGGTGTATTTCCTTGATCATCAAGAAATGTGAGACCTAATTGGATAATTTTTAATAGATCTACATTACAACGTAATAATTGGTACTGGTAGTCTGCACTTGTTCTAAATTCACCTGTAAATGATAAAAATTTCATGGATTTTTGTTTTTTCTATATCTTTTTCTAAGTAATATATTTACCAATAGGTCTCGCAACAACTCCAGGAAATTCTGTATCCATGGCAATATACTGATATTGTTGCACAACTTGTCTCATTGTACGAAATTCATCTTCAAGGTTATGGGCCCAGACATCTCTGATTCCACACTCTTCATTGCTGGGCATATTACCTCCCCCTTTCTGCTGCCCTAAAGGGTTGGCACCACCTATGAACAATATTACACAGTAATTAGTACAACTTTTGTATAATTTTTCAGAAACTAAAAAATTTAAGGATAAAATACAATAACAAAAAGCATAATAATATATCAAAATTATACTGAGAATGTCCTAATCAAGCATTAAATATTTAAAAAGAGTAACATTGGAAAAATTGTTAATTATGTAAGCAAAACAAGAACTTGGAAGGTCTTCATTTATAGCACGAATAACAAAAGAACCTCCAATGGAAAGGACACTCCATTTAAACTCGCGTAACAAGCACATCTTCTCTTGAAACAATAGTGAGTGCACATTTTGGATGAGCCTCAAAGTATGGAGTAGCATAATCTTTTCGAGAAGTTCACAAGGTGTTTATAGAACATAAAAATCAAAAAGAACCTTTGCGTCTTTCTTGAATCTCCTGTAAATACGTATGCAACACATAGTTTTCAGAAATCTCTGGAGTCTTGGGATAGACAACAGTAACAAGACCATCTGGTCGTTGATACAACATATTGACACAGACACAAAATCACACAAGTTATCATAAATCAACCTGAATACTAAGAGGTAAGTGAGGTGACTACCTGTGGCAGAGGGCATAGGTGTGGTTTTGTTTGTAACAGTTTGACGAGAGGTAAGCCAATCTTATTGTTGTCCCTGTCGTCACTGTTTCCCAGTAGGCCTCACATCACTAAAATCAAAACATTACACGTGCTTATCATTTATTTCCTATAGTCCAAAACAAATCGCTAAATTTCGGCAATCACTTTCAACATTGGCAACGATGAAATTTTCATATGAAACCGGGATAAACGAACAACTCCTCGCAACCAAAACATCACTTTTTTAGGTTAAGATTGCGGTGAATATCAGTTATTCGGATTTCTCGCTGTTTCGAACAAAAAGTTGAGCTAATTAATATGCTATCAATAGCAGATACGCTTGATATATAAAAATAAGTTAATAAATAAACAACAAAAGGTTATGTTGACTTACTAAGGTCTTTAATTGCAAAGCTTCGAGAAGCCTGACATTAGAAGTCTAGATGCATTAGATCCTGAAAGGTAGTGAGTACTTGGAAAGAAATATATACTATACTATGTCAAATTGTTCGTTTCGATTTGCAACCTACTAAAATGAAATTGCACCCAAAAAATTGAATTTTCAAAAGTTATAAATAATATAAAATTTAACACGTATAGTAAGCGATTACACTCTGAATTTCAAAAAATTCTATGTATGTATGTAGTCAAATTATTCATTATTATATGCTTTCTAATGAAGATTTATTAGTTTTCGAAAAAATGTTTTACTTTTCTCAATAACAAGAATCATAAATTACACTACAAGATGTATCCGTAGTCCGTACTCTACTCAGTACTACATATATGCCCGTGAATATGTAAATTACATACGTTGTATCGAAAAAAAGTCGTATATTACCCGTCCATTAATGTAAATGATGCTAAGAAATCTATTTTAGCATGAAAAGATTGATAATTCGGCTTATTATTTAGTAATATGCTACAATAATAAATTACATTTTTTAATAATTAAAATCTAATTTTGTTATTTTAATTTTTTATATAAAAATAAATTGGTATTAATGGTGTATCAAATGTTTGTTTTAAAGATGTTTATCTCGAACATTATTCAGTTAAATTATTCAAAAAGAAATGCTTTTTGATTTGTCAATGTTATTCAGATATATTTTGCCATTAAAAAACATTTTAATTAATTAGTTTTCGGACACTTCATTAATTTTTAAATATATTATTCGATAAAAGTCATATATTATCTAAATTATCATAATTATAATTATTAATCCTTGATTAATGACTTTTAGTACTAATAATTATTAGAACTTTTATCAACTAATAAAAACAAAAGAAATATTAAGTAAATAAATGCGTGTGTGTGTGTGTGTGTGTGTGTGTGTGTGTATATATATATAAATCGACTACCGTTGCAATATAAGGATAAGAAAATCGATTATTGTATTTGCGTGACGTTTAAATACTATTTCTACTTACGTAAACTAGCTCAATCGTTAGCAAAAATTATGCGCAGCTTTTATATCCAATCAAAATATTATTATAACCATTCGATAAAGAATATTATATAAATAATAAATATTATTTTTCACAACAGCGATATATGCACCCGAAAGATCAGTCGGTAACATAGATCTGCACATTTTCATATTAATGTATATATATATAGGAATGGGTTTTTTCTAAAATGACCATCAATGTTAGAAGTAGATTTTTTATGCCATGTGAATATTGAAGTACTTAAAGTTATTGATTATTGAAAAAATAAGCCATTCCTATCAGTATAGTTCTTATACTGGTAGGATAAAAGAACTCAGTGAAAAATCAACGAAAATCAACCGAAAAAAATTATAGAAAAATTGCGCATAGTTAACAAATATAGCAAAAATTATTTATAACTCCGCGCAATTTCATTTTCATTGATAACATAATTATCAAAGTTGATCACTCACAGATCATCGATAACTGTATCTGCGTGGATTTTTAATTTCAATAAAGTTTTTAGAGAAATAAATCTGTTCAATCGTTAGCAAACATCACACGCAGTTTTTCTATCAAATCAAAATATTATTATAACCATCCGATAAAGAATAAATATTATTTCTCACACAATCATACGCACATGCACCTGAAAAATCAGTCGGTAACATAGATCTGTACTTTTATTATTGTAAAGGTACACACTCTTATATAAAAGCTGTATTAATAGTAGGAATGGATTATTTTTTTAAATAACCGTCAATGTCAACTATCAACAAGTGGCCGCACTTGTTGATCACGACGAGTGACAAGAGAGTGAAAAAGCAAACGCAAGCTAGCAGCGATTAGCGCGAGAGCTGCTGGTGTTGGTCGATGGCACGTCGGTTCCTCCTGATCATTCATTGGGTTCGTAGAGCGACGGTACGTTCCTGATTATCAATTGCGCCGGGTATCTAACTCTCTAGGCTCAAGGCTGACCATGCGGGCCTGTACTTCCTGCTAAGAGGGCGCGCAGTTACCACTTGATGTATAGTGTGTTGAAAAGTAATGAATAGTATACATTACGATACAAGTGCGGGAAAGTATATTCTAGCTTCGCTCGGGCGTAAACGCCACACGAGACAAGAATCTACTTTCCCGTACTTGTATCGTAATGTACTATTAACTCGGGTGATAAGCTTTGCCCATGCGGGAATCACCTACTTTCCACGCTAGATACGTAATCTACTGTTTCAGTATATACTTCCGTCAAACGACGGTGTCTAATAAAAAAAAGTATTTTCAATAATTTCACATCATACAAAAAAAAGTATATTTTAGTTTTATTACCGCCTACATTTCATAATTCGCGCATGCGTCCTGAGCATTTGTACTATGTTGAATAGAGAATCACTTTTATTAATTATTTGTTATTAGCATTAACAATTTCAAAAAAGTAAAGTAGGCTTAATTAAGATTAACCAAGGTTTAGTTTTCTGAACGATTACTTATTAAAAATATTGATTATTTATCGAGATATCGCTGTTGAAAGATTCCGTAAAACAAGCATTATTCATTAATTTTTCTCAGAGTACTAGAAGGGTGCTGTTTAAGTTAATAGCACATTTAGAGGGTGCAGTTACAAATAATTCGACTGGTATTTTTTTTGTTGATAGTCTGCCGGCTGGGTTAGATGGCTGTTTCCACTTTAGTACCAGCCTCTTATAAAAATTTCTAAGTAAATTCTTATGTAATTTCTTATATAAATTTTCGCGTAAGATCTAACTTATAGTTTTCTATTAATGAAGTCATTGTACACGATAAGTTCTTATATAAGAACTTACTAACTATTTTGCAAAAAAAATTTTCAATTATTATTTTGATTGTACGCGAAAAAAATGATAAGAATAACTTTGATTTTCTAATGAAACTGTTTCTTAGTTGAAGTTTATAAAACATAATTCATTTTATTTACTATATGAAATTAATACAATAATTATATGATAATGATACCAGATGTGCGCACGAAAATTATGTGCACAATAATTATTTTTTATTGTACATAATTCACTTTTGCATGATAGTTTATTTATAACGATATTTAAAACTCATAATTCTTCTTTTAATTTAAATTCCGATGCACAACTCTAAAAATACTCCTTGTGTAAAAACAAATTGACGAAATTTACTGTACATAATAGGTTGTATATAATACAACCGTGCGCGATTTTCTGCACACCAAAAATTAGGTGTAATCTGATTAGAAAAAATTTGTAACAGTCCATGGATATAAAATTAATTATGCTACTTATTCCCATTGGATTTGGTTTAACTGATTCCGTATGTGCGCATAACTTTTATAATTTGATTATATATGATGCCTAATACATCTATAAATAATAATAAAAATTGTAATTTTTATTACAAATGTAAAATTGTGCTTTCTCTTTGTAAAGATAGACCACAGAAAAAAAAGTAGCTCTTCCTTTTGTATAGCTTGAAATAAATCGGAGATTTTTTTTCAGATAGAATGTTTTCAAATAACAATACAATCACAAATATTTTTATTGTTTTAAAATAATTCCAAGATATATATTTTTTCATATTTTCTGTACAACATATTAAACAACGTCGACATCACAAAAAATCATATTTAAATCACTCTCTTCCCCCCTCTTACTCCACACACACACACACACACACACACGCGCATGCACGCACGCCCGCACACATCTGTAAATATAATAAACTTGCAAACGCACATCGAACATACGCTTAGATAAATACATTTTATTTATTTTATCCAACAATTGGAAATTCCGTATGTAATTCGTATGGACTCGACATTAAAAATTACGTCATTTTTATGTTTATCATCTTTGTGTTAGCGGCTTCTTCGTTCACAACATTAATATAGTTATAGTGAATGAAATATTCCACTTCTTTAAGATATACTAATTTACAACATTGAACGGCATATTTTAAATTGCCATTTGGTTCACATAAAGTGAATTATTAAAGAACATCGATATGTAATCAAACAATTCATTAAACTAAATCTATAGTTTATTATTATAAATAAACTTTGAAAATTATGTAGAATTTTACATCAGGAAGTATAATATTCAAAGATTTTAGATTAAATAGTAACAATGAATCTATAACAAAGAGTTGGCTAGTCTATATTTGTTAAAATGATGCAGGTTGTAAATAAGTAGTTCAATAAAATTCGACAGTCTTCATAAATCACATTAACACGCAAAAATCCGCAACAAGTTGAACGAATAATTCAATGGTCCTCTATTTATTGTGCCTGTATTATCAACTGGAACCATAAACATTAAACTTTGAGAATTTTCCAATTTTAATTCCAATTTAATTCCCTACGAGTAAATTTAAATTAATTTACTATAATTTAAATTAATTTACTCGTGGAGAATCGTTCTTGCTCCAGTTAGAAAAATTGTAAAACTTGAATTACACAAGTTGAAAAGTCAGTTTAATAAATATTAGACAATAAACTTTATTTGTTTTCCGTAATTCTCATCTGTTTGGCGCGTTCAGCATTGAACGTGTACCTAAAAAGAAAATAAAATCAAGCAATTAAAAATTTCCTTGTAGAATTTCATTATATCAATAGTGACTATGACATTTACCTAAACATTTTTATTTTTTTTAAATCGTCAAGTTCCTTATTTGCTCGCTCCAAGACATTCAAACTTTTCTCGTCTAATTCTCGAAATCTATCGACATCTTCTTGCGTGCCGTATCTCTTGAGATTTTCAAAGAAAACCCGATAGGACATTCTCATAAGTCTATTTTTGGATTTGAGTTTGCGATAAAAATGAATATCCCTGGAAGACTTTGGAGTTTCAACTAGCTTTTCTATTTCTTCGATGAAACTATGCAACTTCATTACAGCTAATGGATATGATTCCATGAACGAGGTAGAAGATTTCATATAGTCCTGAATGATAAAATACATTTCCAGTTAGTTTCGTATCCAATTAAAAAACGATACATGCTTTTTTAACACATAACACGCGTAAGCACGCGTGTGTCGTTTTTTAACTTTTAATAAACAATAATTTGCGCATTTTTTGGTGCTCTCTTCAAAACGCACGTTATTTCGAAGAAATGAATAATAAAATAAATAAACAACATGTGTCCTATTTGCGTGCTTTTTGCCTTAATGAACGTAAACAGGCATGGTGTACTCACGGTGCTATCAATGCATTCTTTCAAATCCCATCTAACTTTATCATTTCCTTGATGATTCTCGGTCGAGCTCTGCGATGCTGCGGCAACTCGATGACGCTCATCCCAAAATTGCTGCATCTCTTGAATGTTACAGTACTCTGGAATATCTGTCAGATTAGATAATATTCGTAAAAATATTCAAAGAAATATTAAGATATTGAAGCGATTACCAAAAATGAACTTGCGTACCTGAAAATGCCTCATCGGTCCTAGGATCGATCGGAATATCGGAGTCGTTGCCAAGGTCGACCCGTTCTGTAATCTGCAACCTTTCCTCGAAGGCTCTAGCGGCCGCGTCAGCGTCTACCCTTTGCCTCTCCTGCAGATAGTGCGACGCAACAGGCTGCTCTTCGTATCTTTCAACTAAGAAACAAGACCCAAATGTTTTTGTTTGCAAGTCGACGGCCGAAAGGGTCTCACCTGCGTAGTCTCTAAGAGCCACGGTATTGGCCTGGCTGCATGCTAACAGCGTAGAGTTCTTTTGCTTGATCATCTGGAGTGTGTCCTGCAGAGTCTTCATTCTCAGCCTGACGGCCTGCTCGGTCTCCGTGGCGCTCTGCAGTTTATCGCCGAGCAGGTTGGCCATCCGCAGGCGTTCCTCGTGCATCGCGCGCCGCTCCTTCTGCAGCTGCGTGCGCTCCAGGTCATAGAGCGCTGTCTGTCGCTCCATCTCTGTTTGGACATCCGTCAGCTGACGGCGCAACTCGTCTATTGCACTCGCCATCTCGCCGAAGCGCTGCTCGTTGGCCTGCTGACGGGCCTGCGGGTCCTGGTGGAGGAACGACTCTTGCGGCGGCATCGCCGTGACTTTCGGGGATCTTGGGCTCGTAATGGTGAAAGCCGGACGTTTGAGCGTTGCTTCGTGGAAAGTCTCGTGCGTTGCTGTTGCTGCTTTGAACGAGTCATGCGCAGTCTTATCTTCCAAATCAACTCGGCAACGAGCTGCTCCCAATCGAGCGGATCTTGTCTTGGGACTACACTTGAGCTTGGCTCTGTTTGAAAAACCACGGAAGCAAATGAATTATCCAAGCTTCGTAGCTCGTGAGAGTGCATTCACTGACAATGAGCCTTCTTCGTACAAGTTGAGTTTCTTTTTAATTCATTGATGATTGATCGAGCTCTATTTTTGACGATGATAATTAATGAAACGAGAGGTCGAATTAATCAACTAATAATAAAACAAATCATTTGCCCGTGGGTACAGTGAAAGTGGTGTAATTTATTCTCTTCATCGGTCACATATTAGCATGAAATTAACTTATTCTTGTTGCAAAACTATTACTTTAGATAAGAAGATACAAATAAGTACGAGCACGTTAGACCTTCCCTAACATTTTTTAATATTTTCCACTCGCATGTACATCTGGTTTATCATTTCACGCACAAACTTAAAAGTGAGCAAAGCGAAAGCTTATCGATTATTTTGTAACTTTTAACGACGATCAACTATCCGCTAAGCTTCAATATATACGTATACCATTCAGCCATGTTCGATTTGTTCGACTCCCTGTATGAAAGAACTTACCACGTGACGAAGATCGAGAATGATCAATTATTGTTCTATGTGATCCCAACAGCCGACTTTCTCAAGCTTCAATAATACGTCAAACACGTCTCGCAACGTCCGTCTCTTTTGTCTACTGCCCATCGACACACTCTGTCTGTCTCTCTCTCTCTCTCTCTCTCTCTCTCTCTTTCTCTTTCTCTCTTACTCTCTCTCTCTCTTGCTCTTTTGCAAAAAACCGTCAATAACTGGCTAAACGAAAGCGAAGGTCTGCCTTCCGCGACAGGATCCTATGCACGAAGGGAAGAAAACACGAGCCGGCCTATATTCCACACCCGGATCTGCGTGCGCATCCTGTTGCGCCGCTCTCATGCGTGCGCGCTTTACAACTTGTTCGATTTTTCTTCCTTTCTCTCTCTTTTCTCTCCTCCCCCTCTCTCGATCCCTCTCATTCTATCATCGCCTATATAATATATAGCACAGACTTTCCATTCGTAACGCGCGCAGTTTTCAATTAGAAAACAATGCTTAACCAAAAACTTAAATTCGATTTTTGCTACGGTATAATATTATATGTGTGTGTATGCGTGTGTGTGTGTGCGTGTGTATTTGTGTACGTATAACTTCTTTATGAACATATATATAAGTTCGCAATGTTTTGTTACATTAGTTCTCATTTTACAAGAAAATTATAAAAATATTATTTTATTTTTGGAAGCCCATTACTGTAATTGTAAATGTACGGCACGTCCATTATTTCAAAGGCATTCTTGCAGCCATGCCAAAAACATTCCTATTTTTCGTTGCCGTCGAGATGCGCAGCGATTTTACGATATCAGCAGCGTGACATTTCCAAAAATCATTATTATTAAAAAAAGTAACAAAAACGAAACGTCTAAATGCTAAACATCAGTTGGCAGCTACGAGGGTCATTTGAAAAATCCGTGCAAAGTCAGAGAGATGGCGCTACTAGTGCGTATCAAGGTTATTTTTAGTTAGTGGCATATCTTGGAAGAGCACACACCAAGTTTCAGCCAGATCGGCCAATTACTTTGCGTTTTACATTCGTTTCAATCAAAGAAATCGAGTGGTTGTAAAAAAATGGACGAAAAAGAATTTCGTGTATTGATTAAACATTACTTTTTCAAAGGCAAAACGCCTCAAGAGATTAAACAGAAGCTTCATAAACATTATGGTGATTGTGTACCTTCGATTAGAATGGTTTATACTAAATAATGGTTTATACTAAGTAAATGGTTTATATCTTGCACCAACATTTGGACATGAAAAAGCTATCCGCTAGATGGGTGCCGCGATTGCTCACGATTGACCAAAAACGAGATCGTGTAAAGTGTTACAAGAATGGTTTGCAGCTGTTCCAGCAAAATCCGCAAGACTTTAAGCATCGTTTCATCACTGTAAATGAAACATGGATACATCACTACACTCCTGAGACCAAAGAATAGTCTAAACAATGGGTTACTAAGGGGGAATCTGCTCCGAAAAAGGCGAAGACAATTCCTTCGGTCGGGAAGGTTATGGCGACTGTCTTTTGGGATTCGCAAGGAATAATCTTCATCGACTATCTGGAAAAGGATAAAACCATTACAGTCGAATATTATTCATCGTTATTGGATCGTTTGAAAACCGAGTTGTTAGAGAAACGTCCACGACTGGCCCACAAAAAAGTCCTCTTCCACCACGACAATGCGCCAGCTCACGCCTCAGCAGCTGTGGCCGCAAAACTGATGGAGATAGGGTTCCAACTCGTTTCACATCCCCCCTATTCTCCAGACTTGGCTCCGTCGGACTACTATTTGTTCCCTAATATGAAAAAATGACTGGCGGGGAAAAGATTTTATTCAAACGAGGAGGTGATTGCAAAAACGAATGCCTATTTTACAGACTTGGACAAATCCTATTATTTGGAAGGGATTAACAAACTAGAGCAGCGTTGGATGAAGTGTATAAGCCTGAAAGGAGACTGTTGAAAAATAAAAAAGATTTATTAAAAAAAATCAAGCAGTTTTTATTTTTGCACGGACTTTTCAAACGACCCTCGTATTTCAACATCTTAATATTAATCGATTTTTAAAAATTAAATTTTCTGTAAAAACTCGAGATGATTGAGCTTAACACACCGAGCCAAATATTAGTTTTTGTAGAAGTCAAATAATATTAGTGTTCGCACATTATCTGAATAATGGAATCCGGCAGCTAATCGTCCACTGGTAATTCTTACACAGCTGATATTTAAGTATCTGCAAAAGTATGTACTTGCCTGACTGCTAGCTAGCAAAGTTGAGCTTTTTTGTCTAATCGTTTGTAATTTTTATTTCTCATGGCAGCTTACTCATAGTATTCGCGGTATTTTCTAATTAGTCCTGGAGGAGCATTGGCCTCTTTAAAAATACTTTTATGTTTCATCAGCAATTTATTTAATAAAACGATGTGAATCAACGTTTCCTCTTTATTGTATATAATAATCAGCAAGATTTTCATCCATAATGAGGGAAGGTATTAATTATTAATCACAGTAATCATTTTTTTGTACTTCGTAGCAACGTAAAATTCAGTGTCGTATATAATTTATTTATGAATTGATGATATATGATACATAAAACAACGATCTTGCGTATGTATATATTTCAAAGTTTTGATCACTAATAGTAATAATAAGTATCTGATACCGTTGTGTACCGATGGTGATGGTGAAATTGTGACCTTTTGTTATAAAAATGTGAAAATCAACGTGCGAATATAAATTTGTTTATTGCAACAGCTTGTTCTTTACAAATGAATAATTTAACAACAATTCTGGTCATTTTTTTTTGTTTGCAAAGGATATATTCTCATTTCATACTATGCTGTGGATTTCGTTTATGAATTCCCTCAGTTAATTTTTAACCATTTTTAATAACTGCATGTTACTTAAATATCTTCTGTTGAAAAAATTGTTAACTGATGAATCAAATAATTTGTCTTTCCGGAGTAACTTTGATTGGTTTACGTACTTAAAATATTCTTAAAAACCTGTTTGAGTCGAAAGATTATTATTCAATATTACGTCATTGTTTCCATGCAAAAAGGATTAGCTACCTTTAATAATTAGAGGAAGTTCTTAAATGAATAGAATTGTCAGAATACTCGTGATATTTTTTAGTTTTCTCTTATTATTTTACACATGTTATCATTCTTTCTCAACTATACAATATACATTTCACGCATCGAACAACGCAAATATTATATAAATCACCCTGTTTTGCGCCTTTTTTGAATGTGCACCGGCAACACCGAATATCAACATTATTTTAATACATTGAGTGTATAAAAACTTTTCGGTATTTAGCAGTGCACTGTAGGGCAATAACGCAGGAACATAAGAAACGTTCGATTGACTTTTTAGTCTCGCTTCGCTTTACGCACTACACCACGCTTTCAGATAATCAGTATATAAAAATTGTTTCATATAATTCTATTTTATACTTGTTATTTACCAATAAAGTTGCTTCTGATGATAATCATAGACTGAAAAATAGTAAATAAAAAAGAAATCATACCGAACGTCTACGGTTTTAAATACTTTTAAGGCGGAATGGAATGCAAACCGAGTCAAAGTAATTCTTCGCTCATTTCACTTTATATTACACGTTCCTCACTTAAAATTACTTCTATGGCATATAAAAGGTGAAAACATACAGTAATAAATACAGAAGCTCTATGTAACGCATACATAATCAATGCAAAAGAAAGATGAAAATAAATTGACAGTTGTAGTATATAAGAAATGCTATCAAGTGCATTGCACAAGTTTCTAGAAAAAGTGCATAGCCAGTCTTGTAAAGAGATTAAAAGATGGAAACTCGCTCAGATTTTCCATAGAAAAAAATACTACAGCACCTGATTTTCCATACTTTGAAACATATCTTAGATATAAGGCAATAGATATTTAGAGTCACAAAATTGGATCATTACAAACAATTATCATAACGAGTGAAATTATGATGAACAAGAATGATGCATTTTGTTTAATCATACTTGACATTTGCTTGAATTTACGTACAGTCGATTATTCACCATTTATCATCGTTATTGTACAATTGTAGTTGTAGTTATTTGATCATTGACGTACAAACATTATTATCATCACAGTAAAAATAATTCATTTTTGTTTCATTTTCGCTTCTCATTCGCTATTTTATTAACTCTAAGAAACTAATGCCTGTAACTTAATTATATTTCATAAATGAGATACAATTCGCATGGTCCAACTATATTTTTTACGCGTGCCTATTTTCTGTGGAAATTTTTTGGTGCAAAATAATATCATACGTAAAAGCTCTAAAAAAGAAAATAAGATTGATATTTCGTTGCACATGGTTTTAAATTTCGATAAATAAATATAATCTAGTCACATGCTTCTCTCTCTCTCTCTCTCTCTCTCTCTCTCTCTCTCTCTCTCTCGCTCACTCACACAAATAAAAATTTATCCTTCGCGGTAAAAGAAAAGAAAGATAAAATTCTTTTTTTATTTTTTTTCTTTTTGGCGTACATTCTTCGTAAAAAAAAATTAAGTACTAAAAGACAAGAAGAAAGACGAAGGTCCATTAGCTGCCTGTACAGATTACCGTTATACGATTACAAGTTTGTCTACTATATACAATGAGAAAACTAGACAACTCAGTGCCGGTCAGACCGAAGTCTGAGTGACGCCACCACTTAGCCACGTCCTTTCGTTACTCTTTTGCTGGGTGATCTCAAATTCCGAGTCATCGATCTCGCAGAGATTGGTCGACAGATCGCTATTACTAATACCTGGACCCAGCAATGAATTTCTCTCCTCGAGGCTAGTAATGACGTTGGTCGAGTCATCGAGCCGCTTGCGGTTGCGCCTGGCGCTTGGAAAACCATAAGGCACTACGTTGTCGTCGTCCTCCTCGTCAGTCACGAGGATGCCATTCAAGGGCTCCGTGTCGCCTGTATGGATGTTGTAATGTGGCAGGTATGAGTTTGGATGACGAAGGTAACTCTCGGAGCTTTTGTATTTGTATTCCTCACTACCACTGTCTAATGGATTCAAACCTCCTTTGCTGCTCGTATAGCGCTCCGATAAGTCTGTACCACATTCTGAATCACCGATATACTCTGATTCTTGGTCCTCGATCAAAGTTTCTATGTCGCGTGTTGGGTCTATCGGGCCATGCACTGTAATTTTGAATAATGGTGTGTTATTAATATGATTGACTTATAGTTAATAGAATTTTCCTTTCAGCAAATACTTACATGGAGGCATTGCGGACACCTGATGAGTGTTTGACTCATTACTCTCATTACTATGGAAACTGGAAGAATCGGGTACTTCGCTACCTGGCACCTCCGTAATATTTGGCAATGGATTTTGACTTGGTCTCACCCAGTCTGAGCAATCCCAGTGATAACCTGAAAACGTTGCAGACAACACATGTACTGTAACATGTTCATGTGAGACAGCTTGTTCATCACCTTGCAGGGTTTTTTCACCTGAATGATATATCTTTTTAAATTTGGATTAATCATACAATTATTTGATCAAAAGTGATTTATTGTCGAGTACTCAAATCAAAGTTAGTTTTTTCCAGAGTCCTTTTGTGAATGAAAGCTGTCGCACTTGATTTATCAGGTTTTCATTCATTTTAAATTCAATTAAAAATGACAAACTTACCACCAACAATGCGGGGATCGTCTTCCATCGATGAAAGCGATGCTATGGAAGTCCCACCAACTGAGGTTGGTACTTTTCTTATTGAATTCAGTAGAAGTCCTCCAGTGGTCGATTCTGGTACCACTGGGCCGGCTCGTTTCAGGTCTGGAATTATTTATATCGGATAAGTTTCTTTGTATACTCATACATAAATACTGTACTTCATAAATAAATATTAAATTGCTACTTCATCATATTCTGATTTTATAAAAATATTTTTTTTAAATATGCAACTTGAAAAACATATATTTCTTAAAGAGAAAAAAATTTTCATGCCAAATGGATAGTTGTTTTAAGCTTTTTAAATGTTAACAGAAGATTAACGAATTTATATTTATGATTTCACCATCTGCTAAATTAAAAAAAACTTGAATGAGCGCAACCAAAAATTGAAGAATCTAGAACAGGTTAAGGTTAATAAAGGACTGAAGGACAGGAAGACTCCTTACCATTCTTAATTTTGGTAGCATCGCTGATGAACGAAGCGAGCTGCATTTGTTCTTGCCAGCTTGCTTTTTCAATCGCTGGTAGATCAATAGTAGGATTGGGCGGTTGCGTAAGTACGGTATTCCTATTCAAATTCCGTAAGTAATCCGGTGGGAAGTTTTCTAATTCGTCACCGGCACTACCATAACTCCTAAGCGTATCAAGATTATTAAGTGCTACCGCAGCAGCCGAGCTAAGTAGCACTTGCTCGTTATTAGATGACGGGGTATAAGAGGCAGGACGGGGTGGACATTGGGGAGGACATTCTCTCTGCAACAATGAACGTAGTGTAAGAAGCGGTTGCTCGTAAGCAGTAAATCTACACATACATCATACCTATCACTTACCTGCACCACTTCTAAATTGCTAAGTTTCGAGCTACGTTTGAATTCGTGCTCATTAGGACGAGCCGAGTTCAAAACAATTTGTTTACGCGTCTCATTGTTGATGTTGTTGGCGCGAGTTCGCGTGCGCTTGCTACGAATGCGTCGACAGGTGATGAAAAAAATGACTAGGAAAATGTTGACCAACATTGCCAAGCCAATCCATATTAACTGTTCCCACGTGATTATGTGGTTGGAGATATGTAAGCCGGTTGCGTAGCCGGCAGGATTGCCACAATTCAAGCCTGTCACTGATGGTGGACAAACGCAGCGATATGAGCCAAGTTCGTTCAAACAGGTCCCACCGTTAGAGCATGGATTCTTCTCACATTCGTTAACATCGAGCTCACAGTGTTCACCAGTGAACCCTTGACATTTACAGATTGGATCAGTGTTGCCCTCCTCGCAGATACCACCGTGCAAGCAAGGATTTGGACTGCAATATCTGCAATGAATTGATATTTTTGCAATGCATTAAAAAAATTAAATGAAAAAATAATATAACCAACTCACCTGCCGAATTCACAACGTTTTCCACTGAGACTCGTACCAATGCACTCGCACGCAAAATCACCGATCTCGTGCAATACTCTACACCGACCTCCGTAAAGACATGGCGACGATGCGCATGGATCTGTATCAATCTCACAATTGGCCCCTCTAAATCGATTGTGACACTGGCACTCATATCCACCCTCTTCGGTTTTACTTTCCGAGCACGTACCACCGTTTTGACAAGGTTGTGATCCGCAAACACCTTGCGATACGAGAACAGTGCTAGGTTCGCAGCTGAATTCGACATTAGCAAATCGCTTCAGAATGACAACGCTGTTACTCGAACCACTCATATGTAGTGGCACTGAAACCTTAGCGATGCGCACGTCATCCATGCAGCCAACGAAACCTCGTTGCACATCCTCGAAACCCAAGATTGATGGGTGCGAACGAACTTCAGCGCCAAGGTATAACTCTTTGGGTTGTAAGTTCAAGATCTCGGTGATACCAGGTGCAGAACCTTGAGCTAAATGTTTGCTATCAACGGTGAGTATTACATTGTTTCCTTCGCGTTCTAGTTTAATCTCGTGCCATTGGCCGTCACTGATGTAGAAGCTATTCACGCGAACTAGTCCTTCGCCACTACCTAGATCGAATCGGTATTGCACGGCACCGTTCACGATTTCAAGAACGTTATAATCAATTGTGCCAGCTGCATACATTAGGCTACCAGTTGGTTGTACACTACGAATACGGAGTGATAGATTTAATTGGTTCTCAATGATTTCACGAACGAGAAATTTTTCGATCTTGTAGCGTGCATAACTCTTGCCACTAAACGATATTGGATTGCGTGGAATGTAACACGATTCATCGTGACACTTTGAGATATCAATATCGCAGGTCTGACCAGCAAAACCCTCATGACATTGGCAGGTATAGCCTGTTACTGATGAATCGGGCACACACACCTTCAAAAAACACATTAAAAAATTCGTTTCAATATTTTAGGTTAGAAACGACATTAAATATTTATAAGTTAGTTTTACCTTGAAACCTGGACATGGATTTCTCGCGCATTCATTAACAACAACTTCACAATGTGAACCATCATAACCTTCCTTGCAAGTGCATTCGGTGCGATGTCGATGTCTTGGTGAAACAAAGCTGACTACATCAGTAGCGATAGGACTGATCTGCTGCGAGTCGAGAATGACTTTGTCGTGACATTCGCCGTAGACACAATAGCCTTTACTACACTTGTAACGCACGATATCTTCGATAACGAGTTTCGTAGAGGCTTCCAGTTCCTTAATATGATGACTAAGTGCCTCTCGTATGTTGTCGGAGTTATAAAACTCATTGGGGCTGGATCTTTTCACGGCGAAAAGTATATCCAGATCATTGTGAACGACCGTTTGTCTGATTGCTCGAGATTTGATGACGTTTGTTTCCGAGTCGGTAGAAGGTTGTACACTCAAAATGATAATATCTTTTAGCCTGCAATTCATGGCGTTTCGCACAGTTCTTATGAATCCTTTGCGATGTTTAAGAATGAAATCTTCAGGACTAACTTCACGGAATCTCACAATAACAGAATTCTCTAACATAATGTCACTGATGAGGTCGACGTTGACTTTGACGATTGAGTATGAAGTAAATTTGCCGTCTGTCACGCTGACATTCACGCGATACTCGCCAATATCGAGTCGTGGTAATGCCACCAGCGTACCGTCTAATTTATCTATTTGAAAGAAGTCAGTATTTGGTCTATTTGGTGATGTCGGCACAAGACTGTAAAGTAGAGTGTCGTATGGATCTTTATCCGAGGCATGAACTTTGCCAATAATGCCTCCAAGATACTCATCCATGTATGAGTTAATGGTAATTTCGAGTAAAGTTATCACAGGTGGATACTGCGACTCCTCGATGATCTTCACGAGAACGTAGGCATCGGAGTACAATGGTGGGCTTCCATTATCGAAAACCCTGATATGCAATAGATACTTATCTTTGACCCTGTTACTAAATTTCGTGGCAGTGCGTAAAGTACCGTCTTGCTCTAATCTAAAAGCATCGCCTTCGTTACCCGATCTGAAGTCAAAGGTGTAAGGATCTGCATTTGGTTCTGCGTCGGCGTCGGTTACTGTAAACTGAAGAACAGTATAACCGAGTGGTTTATCTTCTTGTACGACAGTACTATAATTGGTTTGAGAGAACAACGGTGGATTATCATTTGCATCGAGAATCTCAACGTTAACGATCACGTAATTTGACATCGTTGGAATGCCATTGTCGCGTGTGTGTACTTCGAGTGCATAAGTGGCGATCGTTTCTCGATCAAGACTACTGGCTACGGAGATTTGACCAGTATTTTTGTCAATGGAAAATTGCTTTAATCGATCACCTCGCTCGATGGCATAAGTCACTTGGCCGTTCTCATTGCTGTCGAGATCATTAGCAAAAAGTTGAATGATTTTTTCGCCTGGTTTTGCGTCTTCGCGAATTGAAGCTCGATATGACGATTGACTAAACATTGGTGCATTATCGTTGCTGTCAAGAACTGTGATATTGACTGTAGCATGATTTGACAGTGGTGGTATTCCACCGTCTATTGCCTGAATTGTTAGGAAGTATTCTTTGGCTCGTTCGTAGTCGAGTTGTTCGGCAATCGATACCGCACCGGATTTTAAGTCTATCTGGAATTTCTTATGTTCGTTACCACCAACAATCGAGTAGTATACTTCTGCGTTTATACCCGTGTCTTTAGATGTAGCCAAAACCCGAGCTACTTCAGTGCCCACGGCATCAATCTCTGGGACTTGAGCAAAATAGTATTTAGACGTAAACTCTGGCGGATTGTCGTTGATGTCTTGTACATGAACTACCAGATAAGTTGTGGTAGACAGTTGAGGTATTCCTTGATCAGAAGCTTGAATGCTTACGTTGTACAATGCTTTTGTCTCCCGATCTAAAGGTTTGGCCAGAGTTACGATGCCACTATCCTGGGCGATGATAAAGTGATCGTTAGCCGAATCGATGAACTCATACCGAATTTTCCGATTGATACCGATATCATCATCTGTTGCGTGAACTTTAGTAACAAGTGTACCAATTTCCACATCCTCCGGTAGCATCACACTGTATGCCTGCATACTAAATTTTGGCGCATTGTCATTTAGATCGGAAATGAAAATTTCTAGTTGTGAAGAACATTCCCATGATGGCTTGTCTCGGTCTTGCACATGAGCGGTTAGTACGTATTTAGCCTGACTTTCACGATCGAGCTGACCTGCGGTCTTTAAAACGCCGGTTTCTTTGTCAAGAGAGAACTTTTCGTTTTTCTCTCCGGTTAGATAGAAACGTAGTTTAGCATTTGGTTCGTCATCGTAGTCTGTTGCGAGGACTGACAGAACGTAGCTACCTGGATGAGAACCTTCTGACAGGATTTCACGATAGCGATACTTTAGGCAGTATGGAGGATTGTCGTTGACGTCGAGAATCTGGAAAAAATCAAAATGTTTTATTTATTTTTAGAGTTTAATTTTCAAACTTGATTCTCAAAAAGTTCAAGAGCTTACATGAACAGTAACTTTAGTTTCGAAAACAAACTTTCCATCAGTGCCAAAAACGGTCAACTCATAAGAATTCACTATTTCTCGATCAAGTGCCTTAGCCACGTAAACCTGTCCAGTCGATCTAATTGCAAACTGCGACCTTGGATCACCAGAGACAATGTAAAAATCAAACGGAGTATTCATATCTACATCTTTATCAATTGTTGTCAACTCAACGACAACAGTTCCAGGCAGTGCATCTTCTTTGACAGCAGCTTGATATCCAGTGTCGTCGATGGCAAAAGACGACGGATGATCATTATAGTCTTTCAATTTAACAAACACGGTGGTGCGTGCAAAGTGACGTGGGTTTCCATTATCGGTAGCGACCACCTGTTAATAAATCGAGAGTATTAATATCGGATTATCCAATTTCACCATGAGAATTCCATTAGCTAGATTGGATGAGCATGCCCTGAACGTGATATTAATGACGAGAGATTAATTTGATATACGGTTCGCATCAAAGCGATATTCACATGCTCGCGCGTATGATATGCCATTTTATTACCTGGAATTTGTAATCGGGCTGTTTTTCTTTGTCCAGTTGCACGAGACTTGATATCCAGCCGGTATAAGCGTCGATGGTGAAAACATTTGCTAATTCACCGATATCTGAGCCAAATGAGTAACGTACTTCTCCATTGCTTCCTAAATCCTCGTCGTGAGCGATAACTTTTAAAATTGCCGTTCCTTCGTCAATATTCTCTGCTACTACAACGGTGTATGGATTACTTTCGAATTTTGGCGCATGATCGTTCTCGTCCAACACTTGCAAGCTAATCTCTGCTAATGCAGTTAATGGTGGACTCGAGTCTGTTTCCGCCAATACACCAATTAAGTAGCTGTCCCTGATTTCTCGGTCCAAAATGACTGATAATGTTACTCGACAGGTCTTCGGATCGATTAAGAAGGGAAAGTTATCACCCGCTGAAATGATTCGACAGGCAATTGTGCTGTTGATGCGAGTTACTGTTTTCAAACGAGTGATCGGTGTGCCTATTGTCGACGCTTCGGGAACGAAAAATTTGTCTTCCTTGCGCTCAAACAACGGCGGTATTTCCTCCGGACCCATCACGTAAATATCCAATGGCACGTCGACGTGGTGTGGATTTATACCTTTGTCTTGGGCTCGAATGAACAGTTGGAACACTTGGTTTTCTAATAGAAACAAGCAAATATTAAATCTTGTCAACTTATCTACCCCTTGAAAATCAAAAACACTTACCATGAGTTTTAACACTCTCTTTCAGAAAGATAGCCCCATTATTAGGATTAACCCCAAAGACATTTTTAATTTTTGAACTCGGTGGCTCGAACACTGAATACTCGATTTTGGCGTTATCACCATCGTCGGCATCAACGGCTTTGACCTTCATGAACGGCACATTGACAGACAAATTTCCGTAGATAGAAGCCTTATACTCTCTTAAAAGGAAAGTCGGAGTATTGTCGTTCTCATCGGCAACTCGCACTCGAACGATCACGAAACCTGATTTTCCACCGCCATCAGTAGCCATCACGATTATCTCAAACAATTTGTGTACTTCTCTATCAAGAATTTTCTTTGTTGTTATATCTCCAGTTTCCTTATCAATGTCAAAAAATTCTTTGAGGTAGTCCGAAGTAATCGAGTATTGAATAGTCCCGTAATCGCCAAAATCCTTATCAGTAGCAAGAACATGGGTAACCAACCATCCAGGTAGTTGATTCTCGGGCACAAATACCTCAACTACAGGATTTGAAAATCTCGGTGGATATTTGTTCGCTGGTAGAATCTCAATCTTAACTCTGGCAAAACTTGTATATACACCATCGCTTACCGAGACATTAAGTATACTCATTTTCTCATCTGCGAAGTTCTGCATGTTAATAAGATTGATTATACCGGTCGATTGATCGATACTGTAAGTCTGTTGATTATTGCCACCGACGATTGTGTACGTAAGTTTGTCATCGAACAAGTCTGGATCCGACCCCGAGAGTACAGTCACGAATTGGCCTCTTTCGGCTTCCTCGGACAAAAAACAACTGTAGGACGATTGCTCAAATTTCGGAGGATTGTCGTTCATGTCAATTACACTTAACCATACATGCGTTGTGCTCGATAAACTTGGTACACCTCGATCAGTTGCAACAACGGTGAAATGATGCGAGTTTGCTGTCTCGTGATCCAACGGTCTTTTCAAGTACACAATTCCTTCTTCCGGATCGACGTGGAATAAATCAAAGTTATTTTCGCTGTATTCTTCCGCAGTCTTGTTCTCAATAGCATAACGAATTTGTTTGTTGATGCCTGTATCATTGTCACGCGCGGATAACCGCAACAGTTCAGTGCCAAAAAGTGCTGCCTCCGACACGGAGATGTTGTAAGAGTCTTGACTGAATTCCGGGGGACAATCGTTGACATCGAGCACCAAGATGGAAACGAGTACTTCTGCGTAGACTCCGGACACGCTGTCTGTGGCGCGTATCGTCAAGTCGTATTGCTTCTTCTGTTCATAGTCGAGTTCGTCCACCACGTAGATCACACCTGTGGCAGAGAGAAGACAAAAGTTTGCTAATGCGAGATGTTGCATGTTTCAAGAGAAACGTGCCGAGTTTACTAAAATGCGTGTTTGTGTAACGTACGTACATGCAGATATAGATATATGTATATCTGTTTTTTATTCACATGTGCACGTAATAAAGCTCACTCAAGGCAAATTAGTTTGCGTTCATTAAAAAGTAATATTTTTTGCTTTTTTTGAGTAGCGAGTTTGGCATATTAAGTTTTGTTGTCATTTTTACTTGTATATGATAATTAAATAACAAAATAAGACTACACACACATAGATAAAGATTGAATAAATGGCCAGTGAAATATCATAGATACACACAACAATAAGAATTAAAAACGGTAAAATACACATAAAGAATTTAAAAAATAATATAGCACAAAAGATGATTTAGTATCTTTTTAGTACTTAACAGCAAATAACACTGGCCGTTATATTAAAGCTCATTCATTGTGTTCCAAGACAAGCTAAACAGCACGAAACGAAAATTGAATAAATCTACTTTCGCGAACAAACATAAATGACCAAGCAAATTTCCGAGATCTAAAACAAGTTTCTCGGCTTAGATAACTTTCCACAGTCTAAAATATGTATTCTAATCATAAAACTGAAGCAGCTTTAATGAGTTTATTTGCTTCTCGTGCTTTTGCCATACAAAACTGATTGCATTGAAAAGTTTTATGAGTACTTCCGAGGAACTTGCCATACTAAAAATTGAATTCCAAATCAGAGGAACCGCGTCACGCAGCATAGTTTTAATAACTTTTTAAAGCGACTTTCTCCACTATCGTCTCTCTCTCTCTCGCTCTTTTCTCTCTTTCTCTCTCGCTCTCTGTCAAAATTCGCTTTTCCTTTTTGAAGAAAACAGACGCGATACTTGAAGAGGGATAAGAAACGCGCGTTAAAGAACGCATGCATCCAATAGAAATAAAGCTGAGCACGCAATGGAGTTAGTTCATTCGCTGAATCAATTGCATAATACAGGTGAAAATGGCAAAAGAATCTAGAGAGAGAAAGAGAGAGAGAGAGAGAGAGAGAGAGAGAGAGAGAGAGAGAGAGAGAGAGAGAAGTACGATGTGAAAGCGTAATCGCTGGTCCATTCATAATTCACACAAAAACGCAGGGGCGAGCGCTGCGACTTTCAGTGGCTTCTCTCTCTCTCTCTCTCTCTCTCTCTCTCTCTCTCTCTCTCTCTCTCTCTCTCTCTCTCTCTCTCTCTCTCTCTCTCTCTCCCTCTCTCTCTCTCTCTCTCTCTCTCTCTATCTTTTTAATTTAATAAATGATGGTGCATGAATGACGAGGCAAAGTTTTCAAACTTCGCGCATTGTGAGCGCCGCTCTTTTATCGTACAACTAAAGCCCACAGATCCGAAACAAAAAACTTTTTGACTACCGCAACACAAGTTTTATTTTTAGACAATAAGAACGACGCAAACCAAAAAATATTCAAGAACATAATAAAAAGTAATTTTCTTGCGCTTTGCTTTTGGCGCGTATCAACTAAAAATGATAGGGGCTGATAGAGTTGATATTTACAGCAAATGCAAAACGGCAAATGTTAATATATACAGAAAATTTAAATAATCATGCGCAAACATGAACTCAAAAACAAAACGAGAGTAATGCATGGCTAAGACTATACAAAGTAGCGTGGTTTTACAGAAAACAGTGTATATAAAAACAACAGATTAATTTTTGGGATTTTACTATACTCACAGGGGCCATTGTTACCGTTGAGAGCTGCGGGGAATGTGAAATAACAAAAAAGAAAAACAGATTGTATTTTGAATCGATCAATCACGAAAAGACTTTATAAGATACTATTTCTATACACTGACTTTTAAACGTGTACATGTACAGAAATGAAAGGTGGCAATTACCAGTATTGAAGTCGAGTGCGAATTCCTCAAAGTCATTGCCCCTGGTGATGCTGTAAATGAGTTTCCTATTCAACGGCGACTTCGCCTGGATGGACAACGAAAGGGGTGAGTGAACCTCGATGCTCTCGAGCACGCTATCCGTGTAAAATTGTTTGTCGAACACCGGCATCGAGCGGTCGATCACTTTAAGGTTCACCGGCACTTCCACCGAACATGGACTTATTCCTGTTGAATGTTAAGGTTAATGAAAACGTTAGTACACACAACAAAACGACATCATTGCAATGTTTTGTATGCGATCAGTCTCTATTATATGCTATACCTCCATCGTAAGCAGCTATCATCAATTGATATTCGCGATTATGTCCCTCGAGATTCTGCTTCAATGATATTTCACCTGTCTTTCGGCAAACTTTAAACAACTCCCCGTGGCCTTTTTTCAGCTCGTATCTGACTTCTCCGTTATCACCGCTATCCAAATCCACAGCATGAACCTTGAAATGAAAATTATTTCTGTATTAAATTTTTTGGATTGCTTTCATGAAGTCGAACCACGACGTTTACCTTCATGATAATTTCTCCTTTCTGCGCGTCAACCGACACGATGGCATAATACGGCAAATTAACGAAAATAGGACAATTGTCATTGATATCAAGTACGGTCACATTGACAATAGTATGGGCAACCCTCTGTTTAGGCATTCGACTTTTAGCTTCGACTATGAGCTGATATTTGTCACAGGCTTCCCTGTCGAATCGTATCCCTGTAGTACTGATTACGCCCGAAGTTGGACCAATCACAAACAATTCCGTTGGATTTAGGATCGTAAAAATGATGTACTCGTTCAATGCTGTACCGAGGACATTGAGGACTGTCACTGTTGTGATTTTTGTGGAGTTTTCAAGCACGGTCCCCTCGTACACATCTTTATGGAAAATCAAACCGGAACTTTCGGATTTTTCGACTTTGATGTTGATTTGTGCTATGCTTGAATACTTTCCATCAGATACTCGAACTTGTAGTTGATAGTTTTTCCGCATGTGGTCTGAATTGTTGATTATTAATGTGCCATTTTGAGGATCTACGTGAAACGTTTGGCCTTGATTTCCGTCGATTATATCGTACCTAGTAAATGATGTTTATTTATTTTATAAAAAGTTGAATTTGATTTATAACTTATTTTGCTTATGAAATATCTTTAATTGGTTAATTGTAAGATTGAACTATAAATCAGAATTTCTCAATGAAATAATGTAGTTGAAATAATGGACGTACCTCAAGGCCGATTGGTTAGACAAGGTATTGGTAGTGTCGGGATCGTAAGCCTCGACTTTCACGACCGCGACATTTTTCCAAGTAGGTAGCAGTACCGTAGTATTATACTCGGATTGTAGAAATTTTGGCGGGCAGTCATTGATATCTCCAACGGTAATGATGACCTTAGCAGTGCTCTCGAACGAAAGTTTAGGTTTTCCAAGATCTGAGACTTTGACGCGAAACTGAAATTCGGGTATAGTCTCGTGGTCGAGTAGCATGACCGTGCGTATAGCTCCGGTACTCGAATCTATATGGAAAAATTTGCGCGGTAGTTCCTCAACGATGTCATAATTAAGTAATGCGTTCAACTCTGAGTCTGCGTCCTCGGCTTTAATTACCAACGGTGAGCTTGTGCTGTTAGCGCTAAAAACTAACGAGCCGATACTTGCTGCTTCACTCACCTGTATATCAAAGACATTTTTATTTTAGTTTCTTTTTTAGTTGCTGGCAGATACTTTTTCTCTTGCTGAGATTTTTTTTTCAATGTATGTATGCACGCGCGCGCGCGTGTATGTAGTTGTAAATGAAATATTTAACGAAATTATTTTACATCAATATTCTTAAAGAAGTTCGTTTCCACCACATTTATACAATAATTGGTGGATAATACAATATTGAATGAGTATTTAAATAAATTTTTATCAACATCTTCACCTGCAAATGTACTTTCATATGAAAAGTAAGGACGAGTAAAGTAATAATTATTCTCAAGAAACGAACTGTAAAAAGTACAAGAGATGAAAAAGAAGTTACCTGTCCGGCGTAAACAGCTTGCATAAAGTGCGGCGCATTGTCGTTTCTGTCAAGCACGTGAACAATAACATTACACTGTGCAGTAGATCCAGCCATATTAGTCGCAGAAATAGTCAAATTATAAAACTTAAGAGTCTCGTAATCGAGTTCCTCTTGTGTGCTGATGAGCCCGGTACTGGGATTGACAAAGAACACGTCGCCCACATTGCCTAAGATAATTTCATACTGCAGGGAGGAGGTGGATCGTGCCTCGACGTGCTTAACAAAACTACCAGCCTCCTCGTTCTCGTAGATCTCGGCAGCCAATTCGCCATTGCTCTTAACGAAGCGTGGTGGCGCATTATCCGCCATAGTTACCATCACGTGCACCGGTATGCTCGTCGACAGCGCTGGTGAGCCGTGGTCGGATGCTTTCACAAGTAGGATATATTCCGACGATGTGGTCAAGTCGAGTTCACGAGCTACGCGGATGACGCCGAGCTCGGAGTCTATCGAGAAGACGTTACCCACGTTTCCTGAGGTTATCGCGTAGGTTATTTCTGCGTTCTCACCGCGATCGTGATCAATCGCTATTACCTGCAAATTTTCCAAAATGTTCGTTTATTGCGTTAAAACTAACCGGACGAGAGTGAAAGATAGCTGAAGCAGCGAGAATGACTGGTATAGCGAACTGCGCTTCCGCTAGCAGTGTAATCGCCGTTATTCGAGAATCTAAAATTACTAACCTGCACAACAGCCGTGCCAACGGCCGAGGTCTCGAATACTTTGCCCTGGATGATCTCGCTGATGAACATTGGCGTGTGATCGTTGTGATCATGCACGGTTACCAGTACACGCGCGTAATTCCTCTTAGGCGGAGTTCCTTGGTCTTTCACCATCACTGTCAATACGTGTTCCTCGATTGTTTCTCTATCCAGAGCTCGATTCAACGTTATCGTGCCAGTCAACGAGTCGACGTTGAAGATTTCCAGACTCGCTTGGTTTTGCGCATTGTGCAATGAGTAAAATACCCGTTTGTCTTGATCGAGATCTTGAGCGTGAAGTTGAAGAACAGTTTCACCCTTCTCGACCACGTTCTCAGAGATCTCGACGCGGTAAACCGACTCGCTGAATTCCGGCCGGTGGTCGTTGATATCGATTACTTTGACGAACAGTTGGGTGTATGCCACGTTCACTCCGTCGGTCACGCTGATCGTCAAGTTATACGAACTTTGTGTCTCCCAATCAAGCTGGCGCGCTAACAGGATGTTGCCGTTGTCACGGCCAATCACAAACTCGTCTCTTGGATCACCGTCTAATTAAAAACAATTTGATGCGAGAAAATTACAAACGATCGCTTCCAAGTAAAATCAACTTGCGTGTATGGATTAATTCGTTATTTTTGCGAAGCTAGCAGTGAAAATTCAAATGTAAATGAATATCACTTGGTAATTATCCGATTATTTATTGACATTGAGTTTTACTGAAATTCCGCTACAAAACCGCCAATGATACAATCACGTTTCTTTTTTTAATTAACTACCTAGCGTTTGTAAGGTAAGAAAGAAGTACATTATATTCAATTGAGCTTTGGCCAATTCCAAGTATAACGCAGAACAATCTGATGTACTAAGAGAGAAAATTAATGAAAAACTCTAGGAATTTTCACTTACCGACGATATCGTACCAAAGTGTATCGCCGTCTTTATCGCTTGCCTGCATGAGAGCGACAAAAAAGCCGACGTTATCGCTCTCCGTCACCTCAACACTTTGGTTGACACTCTTGAAGACGGGAGGATTCGCCGATTCTTTGGGTGTTTCCACTACCTGTACTGAAATTCTCGCTTGATGGCTGCGTGGCGGTTCTCCCTCATCCGATGCCCGTATCTGTACAAGATATCCGACAATAATTTATTACTTCAAACTTGGGTTCTGTGTCTTTGTTAATTCAATTATTTTTCTCGAAATATAATGTCGAACGTAAGTTTCTATTATTCATGTTAAGATAGTGAAAAAAAAAACTTTGTTCAACGTAAAATTTGCGCATGCAGTGTATAAATAACCAGCTAACACGACCGCAGCGATTTATTTGTCATCTGAAAAATTGAATTTAAATATATTCATGACGCGACATTTGTGAAAAAACCTAAGCCAGCAATTTTATACGAACGAGAATGTCGTTGTTTCCGTTGTTGTTAAGAGTTACATAATCTACATCGGTATCCATGAAGGCTAGAACAATTCTGTTTTACATTTTTTTTCTCGAGAGCTTACTCTATCTGAGATCAGAAATCTAGAATTGGAGCGCAAAAAGGTTATGGATCGTAATCATTCGAAATTCAAGGCAGACACTGCGCCTCATCAATATGCGTTTGTTAATCTCTTTGAGATTCTTAATCGAAAAAATGTAAACTAACTTGTGGCTTTGCGTTTACGTAAAACGATTCTTTTGAAAATATTTTCCAATAATGTATAATGCAAAAATGAATGCATAAAATAATAATGCATCGTGACTTAAAAGAAATATCATCTTTAAAAACATAACTCACGATCATATCAAAATCTTGCCCAACCTCGAAACCACCTTTTTGCGAGTAGACCATGCCGGTGTGCGGATGAATTTTAAACTTGCCTTTACCTTTACCGCTCTTGATGCTATACTGGATTTGCCCATTTTTACCGATGTCTTTGTCGTGCGCCAGTGCCTATAAGAGAAAATGTGTATCATTGTAATGAAAAATATTGGTTACTTTTTAATAAATGATTATAATGATGTTCTAATTGCATGGAACAATTGTGTTTGAGTTTTGCTAACGATTCAACATACTCATTTCTATAAAAATTAAATTAAAACTATACGCGGATTCAACTTCTGATCTAGGAATGTTCAACTTTAGGAATTTTTATATTGACGAAAACTAAATTTATTATGAAGACTCTGCTTCATCATACGGTATGATTGAAAAGTGGTTTATTGAATTTCGTTGTGACTGTAAGAACACAACTGATGCTGAGTGTCCTAGCTGTCCGAAAGAGGTGACTACTCAAGACTTGATCGATAAAGTTCCTGATATTGTACTCGCCGATCGCCGATTAAAAATGCGTGAGATTAGTGAGGCTCTTAACATTTCAGTAGGATGTACGTGGAACATTTTACATGAATGTTTGGTTATGAGAAAGTTGTCTGCAAGATGGGTGCCACGCTTGCTCACAGCTGATAACAAGCGAGTTCGTGTCGTTGCGTCTGAGCAATGTTTGAGCATGTTTCAACGTAATCCAAAGAAGTTATTGCGACGCTACGTTACTGTCGATGAAACATGGATTCATTATTATACGTCAGAAATGAAAAATTAGTCGAAAATATGGAGTGGTCCAGATGAATCTGCGCCGAAAAAAGTGAAGCTGGTACGATTAGCCGAAAAAGTGATGGCTTTAATTTTTTGGGCCTCAAGTGGTATAAAACTAATTGATTACCTACAGAATGGAAGAAAGATTACAAAAGTATATTATACCTCATTATTAGACAAATTCGATGTCATACTGAAGGAAAAACAGCCCCATCTAGCGAAAAAAATAGTTCTTTTCCACCACGACAATGCACCAGCTTACGCGAGCACTAGCTCATCATTGCAACGACCAAATTATTTGATTTAAGCTATGAAGTACTTCCACATCTACCTTATTCTCCAGATTTGGCTCCTTCTAATTATTTTTTGTTTACTGACACGAAAAGAGTAACCGCAAAAATAAGCCATTTTTGGCCTTTCTGGCAGCCCTTAAAATCTTACTTCAAATCTATATTAAATGATACTTTATGATGAGACTTTAATCTACTGAAAATTCCAGATTAAAGCTGCATTCAGTTCTCGATTTATGAAAATAAAAGAATTAGTTCTAAAACTCAAAAAAATAATTTTACAGTTTTTACAAATACTAGTTTAGAAAAATAGTATTATTAAATTATATTCTGATAAAAATATAATTTCATTGCCAAATTACATTGCTACATTTGTAAACAAAAAAATAAATAGGAAACAGAGAAAATTATGAAAGAACTACTGTCTCGTAGGAATCAGCAGTGAATAATGAAGTTCTGAGATAATAATTAATTCTGAATTATCCCACTTTAAGTAAATGCAGTATGAAACAAACATAACTGTGAGGTCCTAGCTGCATGCAGGAACCTCCTGCAGAACGTAATCATTACAATACATTATTACATTGGTAACCTTATTCATAACAACAACAACAGCAATAACAATAATAAAAACTATAACAATTATTAATCTATCAATCATTAATAAGTTCAAAAGTGAAATTAAGAAATAATGCCAATTTCTTCAAAACAGTAAACTATAATCTGGGACAATTAATAAAGCTTTTGATTTTGTTAAAGTAAAGAATCGCATTACATTTTCCTACATTTGTATAAATTATTTAAATGATTGATTATTTAAAAAATTCATTTCAAATTAACATTCAACGAAAAATTGAACAAGGATAATCGACTCTCGGTGAAACAATAAAATATAATAGGTAGTTAACTTTTTCTTTATTAAATACATACTCTTTAGATTATAATATTATCAATTTCATGAATAGCGTTATAAATAACAATACCAGCATTTAGTAAAAAAATGTGTTGTTCAATTACGTCTTATACTTTCGCGCAAAGATGGTTGCCATTATTATAATTTATGTTGAACCTTATTTATATTGATTTATCAAACTAGGAAATGTTTGAATAATTGATATAAGCAGGAAGGGAAGAATTTTATATGTTCAATTTTTTTTAATTATTGCTGTATGTAATAAATCGGAAAACGATAACTGAATTGAGAACCCATGCAAAATTGACAATTTTGATTATCGATATCTTAAGAACCAAATGCTGCCACAATTTAGAATTTTCAGGAGATAAAAGTCTCATAAACGATTACTTAGCACAGATTTGAAGTTAGATTTCAAGGACTGCCAAACAAGCGAAACTTACGGTCACTCTTTACTTTGCGAGTAAAAGATTTTCATTCAACGAAGAGATAATTGCTGTGACAAATGAGTATTTTGAAGAGATCGATAAAAATTACTTTTCAGAAGGCATCAAAAAGCTTGAGCACCGCTATAATAAATGTATAGAGTTGAAAGGAGACTATGTTAAAAAACAAATTGGAGTTATTTAAATAAATAGTGTTTTTTTATTTAAAGTCACGAACTTATTGAACGATCTTCGTATATACCTCTAAACTAATTTTAGGGAATGAAAAACTTATTTATCTTTATAAAATTTTTTGCAGATATCTTACTTAATATATAAAGAGTTAATCTATATTGTTAAGCTACATTTGTTGATAAGGTTTCAAGAGAACGTGTATCAATTTATGGATCGATATATTTATTAGAAGAAATTCTAAAAACTATTTAGTGAATTAGTGTTGCATCGTGGTGACGATTATTTCCGACACTTTTTACCAATATTTTCGTTAAAATCATAAAAAAGCCACGGTGATTTATATTTTGAACATGGCATTCACTTCAGAATTTCATTAACTTTGTTATATTAAAGTTTTGTAATGTTCTTAATTAAATTTTTTTGTTATTTTTCCAAAACCAAATGAAAAACTCTGTGTCTTATAAAAAAATTCATTGAAAACTCTATTTCATCTCTTTATAACTAAATGTACGGATTTCTTTCCATATTAAAATTCAATTAAACATATACTAAATGGAGTTTCCAATGTATTTTTCTGTAAGACACAGATTTTTCTATTTTGTTTTTGAAAAATAACATATAAAGAAATTTAAGAACATTATAAAAAAACGAAGTTAATTAAATTCTGAAGAAATTGCCGTGTTTAAAATTATAAGTTACCATGGGTTTTTTATGCTATTAACGAAAATTATTAAAAATGCCGGAAATTATTTCCGCAACACCGCGCTGATTCACTAAATATATTTAAAAAATTTTTTTACTGAATATATAGACCTATCAATTGAAACACGTATTCTCGAAACCTTATCAAACAATGTGGTATAAACAAAGTTATAATTTTTTGTGGACAAATAAAAGTTAATATCGTATTCTGGCAAAGAATATCAGAAACTAAATACTATGAGGAGTACTTCTAAATTTTTTCGCTTCGATCTATCTATAATTTTTTTATAACAAGCGAGTAGAAGGCTAAAATTATTTTTTTCATCGCGCAGCTACTTGAAGTTAAGTACTTGGTTATAGAATCTCCTTAAAACAAGAAATTTAAGAACAATCTACTTATTAAAATTCAGATATTAGCCAGTTTTATTAAATTAAACCAAGTACCACGCCGAAAAAATCTGACAACTCTACATAAGACGGAAAGAAAAAGTAGATAGACGCTTGGAAAACTAAATGACATTCAAACAAAAATTTTTACCTTGATTGAAAGGTCAAATAAATTGCGTGAAGGATAGCAAGTGTATGCCGCATACACTATAAAATCCTGCAGCAAACTCTATAATAATTTTTACATAGTTGAAAATTCGGATTAAAAGCAAAGCATACTTTACGATAAAGCACATAAGGGGAAAAGGGGCGTTTTCAGCACCACGCGAGCGGCACGTATATGATATTGATTTCATGCAGAAACAGGATAGGTATGTACAAACACAAAGCGCATTTGCTTAGCACATACAATGCAGCGTTGACAAGTGCGGATACATATGAATAAACTAATAGGTTTCGCTTTGGAATTTGTGGGTGAGTGAATTGAGCTTAACGGGCATTGTGGTTAGTTAGTACGCTCAGCAAAATGACCATTGAGGGTAGGAAAAAGAGACAATCGAGCCTACAAAGCGTCTATAGCTACATTTTTTGTCGAGGGTTTGATTGTTGGTATATACATGCAACGCACACACAGACACACACATACACATACTCGAACGCGCGCACGTACACACATGCTTACGTACCATGATGGATTTTTCTACCTTTCTTGGCGAATGAGGTAGTGAACTGTTGCACGCATGATTTTGATATTATTTGATTTTTTGGTATTTACATAGCATACATTCAAAAGTTCTTCCTCTTTTGGAGTCAGTTTGTGCTTCTTTAAAGACATTGACAAGTTTATGGTTAGGAAATCTATTGGAATTAATTGAAGTGTAAATATCGCGTGCATTTAGCTATCAAAACTGCATCTGTGTTTTACTGATTACGATCATCAATAAGCACGAGTATGTATACATATTATGAAATAACTTTCAATCACTGATGCATAAATGAAGCACTAACTTTCAAGCAAACATATGATCACAATATCGTTTCCCAACAAATGATATTTATAATTAAATAATGAAACATTTACAATCAAACATCGCTAGTTTACTGTATTCTTATTTCCAAATCATTTTGAAACCTTCAATCAATCTGTCAAATGTCGTAACGTCTTCGCACGCCATGGTTAGTGCATTGTTGTTACAAAAACAGAGATGAAAATTGTGTATATGCGTGCAGTAGCGCGATGATCAGAAGAAGGAGGAGGAAAACACCTTACCCTGAAGACACGCTTGCCCGAGATACTATCAGGAGGGAAGCTTTCCCAGGTGCCGTTTTCGAGCAGAGCGTCAACCGCGAGCTCCGACTCGACTCGTTGATCTCTGTCACCACCGCCGGATCTTTGCTATAAGTAAGCAGCGACAAATCAGAGAAAGAAGAAAAGAAAAACAAATCACAAAATATAACAACACAATTTTCCTTTCTTTCTCTATCTCATCGCAACGGTTCATCGCAAAAGGCTTTTCTTCAAATGAGTGTTAAAGCGTATAGCGTATGGGGATGTCTTTTATCTTTAATCCTTTATTTTTTCTCAAGGAAGAAATAAATTATGTTTTACGTTAAATGTCTACGAGATAAACTTATTGTGTGGAGGGAATAGTTGATTTTTCAATTGAATTTTGTTCTCGTTAGAAGCAATAAACTGTTAATAGTATAATTTTTTTGAAAATTAATTTTTCTCATAACTGAACTAACAAACAACAAGTAACAGAAAGTAATAACTGAATTTATAAAATGTTGAATTTAGGTTTTTAGTAAATAATTAAGCTGGTAAACATTAAATTACCCAATCGTTTGTAATTACTTTATGAGCTACAGGTAGCAACCCTCAGTTTCCACAACAGAAAACGAAACGCAAACAAGTTAATGGCTTTCACTTCAACATACAGAAAAAAACCAACTACACAAGTACAAAATTAGATAAGTACGGTGCATCGATTCTAAATAAAGAAATCACACTAAAGATAAACACAATTAAAAGCCAACAATAAATCACCTCCGTATAAGAACAAAATCAGACAATTCAAAGACCAAACAATGTGTACAATGGACTGTGGTGTCCTAAGAACAAACAATAAAACTCCCACAAAACGATACGTGCTTCCTTGCCGGTAAAACCAATCATGAAGAACTCTTTTGCGCACCACACCATACACGCAGCCAGACATACGTAAATAAAAATTTTCATTGGATAGAATTTTGTGTTTCTTTTACCTGGAAAAGAGGTTTATCAAGGGACAGTGTGGCTGGAATATGAACAATGTAGAACTTGGCTTCGAACTCCGGTCCGTGGTCGTTTATATCCTCCACTTGAACCACGATCCGCGACGTCGACGACAACGCTGGTCTACCATCGTCTTTCACCGTCACCTGGAAAGATACCACTTATATACATACATACACACACACACATACACACACACAATTTTACACTTTTATACACAGACACTAAATTTGTCTTAAGATAAACATCGCCACAATTGCTGCTGTTGCTACTGTTTTCATGAAGGAATCTAAGAGTACATACGTTTTATTCTATTTTCCTTTTATTCTTATTAACGTCGGGCTGAAGTGTTAAGGGCTATAATTTAGTTGTGTATACATTTAAATAAACTGCAATTTACAATGAAATTTATAAGTAATAATCTGTGATCGAAATTTAATGAAGAGGATCGATAAGAATCAGATACATATCTCGAAAGTAATTTTTCACTTATAACGTCGCTTTGTGATTGAAATTAGTAAGTGAAACGTACCACATACGATCGAATAAAAAATTGACTGAAATAGATTTATGAAACGAATATACAAAATTTTGCCATTTAATATTAACTTATTCTGTATTAATTAAGTAAACAGTAAACACTGGCCATTAGAAACGGATATATTTCAATTAAAGGCATAACAGCATTCGAAAAGCACCTCATCAGAGCTTTCCAAGAATAAGCATGTAATTAAACAATAAGCACGAGTCAAGTAGAATTGACAAACAAGAAAAAGCGGCACACGTACGGCTGGTTCGTTTCTCGTCATTATTATCTCAATTAGTCAATATTCGCAATTAGGACTTCTTTCTTAGCTGGCCACCGTATGGCAAAACGGACAGACGGACGGAGTTGGGTCGTTAAGCGGCTGAAATAAGGGTGGGAGAGGGGGTAGAGAGTTGGACGAGGAAAGTTCTCATGGAGTACTATCAGCTTCCACAGGCTTCCCATCTACTCTTCTCTTCCTCCTACTTTCCCCCGAAATTCAGTTTACGCACAGGTGTCGCTGATGACTACGCGATTGCGACAGCTCTCTACTGTCCAAATACCAACACACATTTATCCGTGACACGGGTAATTCCAACACAGTGGAATCCTGGCGAGGAGCAGAGAAAATTCTTGTTTCACGCTGATGGTAGGTAATATTCGTGTTATTTTTCCACGGAAAAAACTTTTTTCGACGGGAGAAAAGTCGTTAGACCGAAAGCTGGTTTGTTCGCGCGCTGCAGATGAGATTGCTAAAGAATCATGCGGAACACGCATTAAATTTAGAACGAATGTTTCTTTTTCTCCAAGTTTTACGATCGCGTAATAACGTTTATTTGAAGTCGCCGAAGAGAAAGAATCTTAATCGAATTACTTATGCAGAGTATCTATTTAATCTGATTTCCTCGAAATTTCAATTTGAGATAACTTGGTTGTTAAACTTCCAAGTACAATTTGTGATTTCATTACAAATTAATTTCATTATAAATTACACTGTACGTAGGTACACGGATATATAAAACTTCGAAACAGACATCGAAATAGAAAACTCTCATTATTCTTCTACAAATAGGCGTATAAATATATTTTTCGTCGATGTAAACCTTCGATATTTTTCTCAATTCTCTGCGTGTCACTGGGACATCATTTTTACCCGCCACCGGAAGGTAGAACAAATCGAAATTGAAAAGAATACTCATCAAAGCTCCTCGCAAACTCACATTACTCACGCCGAAAAAACTTTTCAATACGCCCGCTACATGGATGTTACAGCTGGTGTAGTAGAAAGGCGAATTTACGAGATTGTCCTGGAATTTCTTGTGCCCTTACTTCCGTTATTAATTGGTCTTCATTTTTTGCTTTACACGCGCGAGATGTAAGAAACGGCACGGCCAATTAATTCTACCCGACGTGCAAACTTGAGAGAGTGAGGAGAGAGAGAGGAAAAGAGGTAAGGAAACACTAGTGTAAGAACGCAGAAGAATTACAGGGAATGAGCAATGTGCAAACCTTGTGATTTACATGCAAATGGAAGGTGTGTGAGGGGGTGAGAACGAGAGAAAGTTAATGATTTGGATTATTGAAATTGGGATTCTCTCTGTGCGCTGCTGAATTTTGCGCCAGCAAGATTCTGATTTTTAACAAATACTTCAGTACGAAATTTTATGAATGACTTTCACTAAATATTGCACGCTTATTCTCTACGTGGTGAAATGGAAAGTAATTGTTTTTTCTTCGTCAAATTCGAATTTACAGACAGAAAATTAAAAAAAGTTAATTAAAAATTTTTAATATTGTAATAATTGTGTTTCTGTTTCAAGTTTTTTCATCATTTTTATTTTTATCGTAGTTCATCGAAATTTTCTCATTAATCAAAATACAAATATTCCAGTAATCTATGCAAGCAAATAAAAAACTACTAGGCATCAAATGGGTTTTCCGAGCTTCTCTTTTCCATGTCAGCGGCAACAGCGGTGGGCTTATTCAAAAGGACGTGGCCGTAGCTCTCTAGAAAAGGGAGTTATTCCCACGAGTGTCGCGTGACTTTCAAGCTCACTCTCGGTTTTCGTGAATACTCTGACTTGTCGACCACCATTGAAAAGTGCCGCTGTCGAAATCCGTCCTTCTTCCGCAGAGGAAAAAATCCGATTTGGTCAAATCTTGAAAAGGGTGCCATAACTAATAGGGAAAGTTAGTTAATCGGCTCGTTGAGTCTGAATTTCGTTTCTGCTTACCGCACAAAGGGTAATACCTTAATTACACACGGGCAGAGACGGTCAAGTTAAACTTGCCACGGAAAGATAAACAGCTTTAGCCATTCCACTAACGAGATTGCCAGAAGTAGAAGAAGAAGCCGCAGTCGGCTATGAAATTGAAAGCGTATATACTTGTACTCTCTTTGGGGTTACTTCTTTTTCTTTTGATAGCGGTATATACATGACAGAAAGAATATATGCATAGAGAAAGAGTAAGAGAGAGAGAGAGAGAGAGAGAGAGAGAGAGAGAGAAAGAGAGAGAGAGAGAGAGAGAGAGAGAGAGAGAGAGAGAGACAGACAGACAGACAGAGCGAGAGATATGATTTTGATTTGCTGCGGCTCATTTGACTTTTCGATGTCCTCTCTTCCACACTACTCCATGAGACACCTGTGGAACTTCGTTTGCAAGAGATGCTCACTCTAGAGACATGCTTTCACTCGTGTTGCTTTTGAATTCTATATATGCTGGACGAATCGTATATACGGATCGACTTTTGTACATGGCAGAAAGGGGTTTACGTTGAATTCTACGGTGAAATTTTATATTTCTCTTCGAACTGTTCTCTGTACGATCGTATACTAGTGGGGAACAGATATTCCTATAGCGCTCTATGATATTGAATATTGAAGAGCGGCATACTTTTTTTTTTATCTGGTTTTAACAATTAGGAAATTACGTTTAAAATACTGTATGTGTACGTGAAGCATTCTAGATGAATTACAAATAAAATTGAATACTTAGGAAAAAAATACTAAAAAAGCGAAACAGAAAATATAAATGTTCCATTAACGTCATTAAAGTTAATGAAATGGATTAAAGAATATAAAATTTAATTAGGCTAAGTGAAGCTATACGTTGCGCATCCTCGGAGGCCACACTCCGACCAAGTTTTCATTTATAATCAACATCAATGTGCGTGTGATATGGTATTTCGAATATATGTATACGTATGTTTTTTTTAATTCGTCTGATCGGATAGATGCGAGACGAAATAATAAAAATACACGTAGCTAATAGGCTCTACGCACAAATTTAAATATTTTTTACTTTTATTTCACGTGTTATGCGTAAGAATTTTTTTTAGAACTAATTTAAAACGAGTTACGTGATGTAATTTTACAATTTTTTAAAAGTTTATTTCATTTAACCTGTCTAACGTTTTTCTTTCTTTTTTTTTCTATAATAAAGATCAAAATGAAATTCTTAGCAAATAACCAATTTAAAGCTTGCCTTGAGCTTACAAGCTTGCATTAACACAATGTTACTTGTATAATTCAATGTGACTTTAGAATTGAAAAATTAGTCACTTGATATCAAATTACAATCAAAATTTAATAACGAAAGGGGGTGATTTTTACAAGAGAATTGATCGACAAATAGCAATCTCATGTGACTTATATACTCATAATACTCATGTAAATCCCAGCGCGAGCGTCTCTATGAGCAAATAAAAATTGATGATTCGCCGAAGCAACAGCAACAGTGGCAGTGACGTTGGAAGATAAGATTCCAAAATTAATAATCTCTTCTCGTCACCACGTGATACAGTTTTCGGACGGCAAAGGATGCCCTGTATTTTTATTGCGGTGTATTTTACCTCGAGTATGTGCTCGGCCTGATTTTCTCGGTCCAGCTTGCGACCGCTTGTCGTTATTAAGCCTGCAAACAAAGAGAAAATGTTCCACTTAATCAGTTTTATTCCCTACTCCCCTCACAACAACGAAAATATCGTCTTGCTTGTGTGTACTCCGCAGAGTCCTTTAACGCCGACCGTTGACTTTGATCAGTGTTGTCTCATTATCAACTTGTTTTTTTTTTAATGTCCCGGTAGGATTTCTCTAGTGATCTGACTGCTGACCGATGTGTGTGAGAGAGAGAGAGAGAGAGAGAGAGAGAGAGAGAGAGAGAGAGAGAGAGAGAGAGAGAGAGACAGACAGACAGACAGACAGGCAGAGAAGCCTTTAATAGCAGTGTTATAACTTGCTTCTCTGTCTCTCTCTCTCTCTCTCTCTCTCCCTCTCATTCCGTGACTGTATGTACATATAAAAGCTCGTACCAACTAGAATTTTAGAATATTTACAAAAATTTTATTCTGTACAAAAGTATATATTCGATTATGAAATTACTTACAAACGTTAAACGTTTTAGTGGCTTTTTTAAAGTTCCAACTCGTAAACATTCGGAGTATGATATTTCATCAAACATTTTCTCATGTATGCTAGTGACATTTGAATTTATGCACTTTTGTTTTATTTTTTGTCATTTCCATGCGAGCCTTGCTAAGGCATCCCAACGAAAAACTTTAGCTCGTAAACCGCCAACGCGCTTTGCGAAGATTAGCACGCTTAAAATTTTCACGATGCTCTTTTGTTTTTTTTTGACAAAGAAAAAAAGGAGGGAGTTTGTAAAGAGACAAGAAAGGATGAAAAATTCCATGCGGCCAGTAAAAAAATATTCAAATAAGCGGAATTACAACGATTTGCAAAAATTTTGTTCCGAAAACTCTTTTCCTTTCCACCGAAAGTAACGATTCATCTAAAAAGAAAGCACTATGCTTAACTCACCACTGGATGAATTGATAAGAAAGTAACCCTCGGCGTTGCCACTACTGATGGAATAAGTGAAATCCTGCTGCGTAACATCTTTGTCGAAAGCACGAAGTTGAAGCACACTAATACCGGCCGGCGAATTTTCAAGCACGGATGGATAGTAAACCGGCTGCTCGGTCAGCGGTATGTTGTCGTTCTCATCTAGTACCTCCACGTACACCTGCATGTAACAAGCAAAATCTTGTATTTCGTGCATTTAAATTTTACACGGAAACGAAACATATTCGAAAATTGCTCGCGCCGGAGTACTAAATTCATTACGCGTGCGCGCACATACATCAAATTTCCTCCAGTTAAATAATGACTGAGGGGGAGGAGGACAAAGCACATGCGCGTGTGTGTATATTATCCAATCAAAATGCATGACGCACCTGCAGTTTGGAGCTGAGCGGAACAACGCCGTGATCCTGTGCATAAACGGTCAGCCAGTAACCGCTTTTGGCCTCTACGTCCAGTATCGCTTTGGTCTTGATGTTTCCTGCAAAATTAGAAGGAATTTCAATTTGTATTTAGCAGACGAAGAATCGAGATTTTTGCGTGAAGGTATATTTGCAAGCGAGAGAGAGAGAGGAGAGAGAGAGAGAGAGAGAGAGAGAGAGAGAGGGGTAACACGACCAAGGCGGTTCCCGAGCGCTTGTCGACCATTGCCCTGGCGAATAATTAAAGTGCCGCGCCCTGCAGCAGCAGCAGCAGCGCGGTATCGCTCATTATAGGTTGCAGCGTGAAAATGATTTATGGCACTGAGACGCTCTTCTCTTTTTTCGCTTTGCGTCAGGCAGTCGGATGATCTTTGAAGCTCTATTAAAAGTTGCAGATTTTAATCGTCGCAGAGTTTCGTTTGAGTTTAGCTTGTATTTTACTATTGCATGTATTGTACTGTTGGCAGTTAAGTTGGACGTCACGTTGGCTGACAGTTGAGTAAATAAAAATTCCACGCCGAATCCGCTTAGCATCAGCAACACTTCATAAAATATTTTATCAGAGATTACACCGATGTCTTCGTGTATTGCACAGTTCACTTATAGAGAAGTGGGCCACTATATAATGCTCTTTTGAGCAAATTGAATTGGCGCGTGTCGTTCGATATTACAAGTTTATCAATTACTCGCGCGTAAATAGCACTGATACTACCCGAGCGTGTAATGGACGAAATCACAGCTCACATGCGAGCAAATATGTAAAAATTAATTGTTATTTAGTTTGAAACAGAATGTAAATTCAACAAAGTTAGTAGGCGAGTAAAAATGTAAAACTAATTTAGACTCGCGTAATTTACAATTATTTCCAACACAAGCGCACGGCCTTAATCGCGCTTATCAATAGTTCGACAGCGATCGATCAAAACAGAGATTATAGATTATAGAGAGATATTGATATTGATCTAATTTTAATCCACTGTTAGAGTATAACTCTATTACAATTTTAAGATTAAAGAGTGCAGAAAAGCGAAGTAGCGTTTCATGACCAGGCTAGTTGATGTAACATTAAGAACGGCAAAAACGTTAACTGTCACGAGGTTAAATGATTGCAATAAAGTAAAAACGCAGAAAACAAATGCAACAGCGCAAAAAATAAAATTATAATGATAGCAATAGTGATAGTCATGAATCCCAGAACGTAAACTAGCAAACCTCAGAAGAGAGAACTCCAAGGTTCGATCATACATATGTGGGTTGGATATTCGTGTCATCATGGGTACTGATCGATACTTACAAGGAAGCCGAAGTTAAGACAGCGAGCAGGTAACCTTCTCTCAGGTAGCAGACCAAGTGGGAGGGAAAAGCCGATAAACAGTAGGCAAATTCAATTTGTCAAACCATATAATGTGAAATTCTCGCCTCGAGCTGTAGTACTCAGGTAACAGTAAGAGGAAAAAAAGCCAGGATTTGAACTCATATAGACATTCTTCAAAAATATTGGTGTACTGGTAATACTGATGTCGTTGAGGAACTTTCCTATGCGAATCGAAAAGGATCTCTTCCAAGCTTCGGTTCGTAATATCTTGCAATAGAAAACGGTAGGTGGGTTTCTGGGAAAGCGTCTAGTAATGACATCGAGATCTAAGCAAGAGAGACGAGCCGTCAGGTAACGTAGTGAGCCATTGGAGACAATACGATACATTAAGTTGGCCATAACAAGATTTCTCAGTAAGAAGAGGGCAAGCCACCTGAGCCAAAGACAATAAAATGATATTTGGGTGGTATATCACTCGAACAGATGAATAAGATTAAACCAAACCAAACGCAAAGCGGACGTAGGCATTCTGTTATCTGTAGTTATGCTGATTGAGTTTTGTCGAAATCCATGAAGACGTATAGGTATAAGAAAAGTGTGGGAAAACTAAGGTTTCCAAAAAGCTCTTCTTCATACAAAGTGAAGTGAGCTCTTGAAGAATTTGAGAAAATGAAGAAACCGGTAGACTTGTCTAATGATGTTAACCAAGTAGCGCTTCCATTTGAGGATAGAAGAGATAATAATACCGAGACGTTTAACCTCCAGTGAGTAAAGAATTGAGGTACTATCAATAAAAATTTTGGTGCAGGCATAGGGATCAACGCTACACTACACAGGTAGATAACTTTTGTCTTACAACATTTAACTTGAGTCTGTTGGCTCCGACCCAATTGACGACAGCTTGTAGTCGTACTGTGCTCTTCAATATTCCCTCTGCAATGTTACGTGGGAAGCAGCTAACATAGATTTGGGTTACTGGCGAGATATAGGGTATAGATTTGTGTTATCATCGATGCAAAGGATGTAATTTGTAAAGCAAAGAACGCTTGAAAGATCATTCATAAACATTGAGAAAAGCAGGTGTCCGAGTACATACTCCCTTACAGAACGCCCGAGGCAGCACGTAATCACTCAAAGACTGAACTAACCTCATCAACCAATGCCTAAAATATGGTTCGAAATATAACGAATACCTCTAATAGAGAGATCCCGAAGCTTGCGAATTCACGATTCATGCAAAATAAAATTGAACCTCTTTGAGAAGTGAAAAAACACAAGAACAGTGATCTTGCGCTTCTGAATGACATAGCGGGCATTATCCAAGAGGATAGTCTCGATAAAGTGGGCCTTCCGGAAACCAGCCTACCTAGGGTTAAGAAAACTATTCAACTCAAGGTAGTGGAGAAACTGCTAATGTACACGCTGTAAAAACTTGGACAACTCGCAGAGCTGCGCAACAGGACGCGACTTTGGCCGGATGGTGAATGACGGTGTTCTTTATGAAGTCAGGAAAATTTCCAGTATTGAGCGAAAAGAGAGAGGGAAGAATTTATGCGTACAATGCGAGTCTCTGGTCGAAAATTTCACACCACTACCTTCGCGAATTATTAATCGCTTCCTACAGACAGCATCATTTATCGAGTTTCTAAGGCTAAACCGCAAGGATTACGTTTACCTCGTTCGCGCTTTTTTCGCAACAGCAAGCAGCTTTGATATAATTGCACGAGTGCACTCTGAAATTAAAAAAAAACTCCTAGGTATTATCCCGTCATACTCTAAAAGCCGCGTCAACGCTCTTTTTTTTATTTTTCTTGCAGTGATATCAGTAGGACTACATTTTGTAGCTAAGTTGCATGAGTCTCCTTTATTCTTCTGGAAAGCACTTATCTTTTTAGATGGGGGGAATATAAGAGAGAGATTGTAATATACAAGTTTTTGGGGCAGAAGATATAAAGCTTTGATATGTGTTCGTTACTGAATAATTGACGAGAAATAAGTGTTCGCTTTGAACGCTGGATTAGTGAATATAGGATAATTATAGGGTATTATAATAAAAACGAATGACTCCGATAATAAAAATAAAAAGAAAACCACAATAACTTACATATCGCTCGTATGATTGACTAAAAGTGTATGAATTTTAACTGCACACAAGAGCAACCGTGACACAGAAAAAGAAAGAAATACACGTAAAGAATTTTACGTATACTCGTAAATTGTGAGAAAGGAGAGAAAATCTGATATCACTTACAGTGAAGCTAAAAAAATGCCTGCAGGGGGAGAAGCGAGAAAATATGTATCTTTTGTGCGATCGACATCTGTGCGCGTGTGTGGGCCGCATAACTCGCGAGCACTTTTGCGAGTGCAATGCTTTTTAATTAAAGCCTTCGCTGGCAGCAGAAGTAACAGCAACAGTAGTGGTATCAAAGTTCGACGTTTTAAATTTCAGATACGCTAAAGTTTCAATCTCGATTGACGTGTGAACTTCTCCTGTTTTAGAATTTCGAAAGGAAGAAAATGCCCGTCGAAGCGAGATACTTGTTCCTTGATCAAATGGAAAGAGTGCATGTAATTGTTTTTACATTCGGCACAGAAACTCGTGTGCTTTTACGTGTGTGATTAATTTAATTCGTGGCTACCTACACGCGAATCGATTTTCAAACGTATGTGCCGCTCGTTAAACTTGTTGAAAGATCACGTTTCCCTTTTATTTATTTCTCACACTTCTACAGTAGAAATGAATTAAAACACTAAAATTTTCAAAGGAAACTCAAGCATACGTAGACATACACGTAGCAGAAAGCTGTCTGATCAGTGCATCCCATGATGATAAGTCATTGTTCTTTCTTCGATTTCTCCGCCCTTTCTCTTCGGTTATTAATATAGGGGACAACTCCGACGTTTCCATCGCGTCATATCGAGTCATAAATACCAAAAGAGCGTGCGTGGTTTCTCCCTATGCTCACGTCATTACGCCAACCCCCTCCCCCTCTAACATTATTATCATACACGTAGGAGGGGATCTTTCTTTCTTTCTTTATCGAAAAACCCGTAAACATATACAAATAAACGCAATGAACGGCACTTTATCATGTCTCTTTTTGATGAAAATTGTTTTCTTTTGTTATACTGCGTACCTTGGTATATTGTAAACCGCTCGTCGATATAATTCAATTGCCTCCAGTGTACTCGTATTCTCTTTTTCAACACATTTACTAATTGCTTCTGCGCGTACATATGCAGAAAGAAAACGCTCGTTGAACTATTTCTATTTCCCGCAATCGTGGCAAGACGTTTACTGGATTTTTGCTGGAGTGTCTGCTACGCTGCTGGCGAGATATCGATCGAGCGGAAAATTGCCAACGCAAAAATTAACGTCGATGTCGAATGATACAATTCAATTTCGCGTAATCACCAGGCGATGATCCACGAAAAAGGAATCTACTGAAAATAAAGTTGCAGTGGCCGTCGTCACATCCAATCTGCGAGTCGTCGATAAAGCCCATAATCGAATTGGCGAACCCAATATCGCGCCCTCGCTGTTATTAATCTATATATTTCTCGCCGATAAAAACCGCGGTTAGTGCTCCGAAAACCTCTTTATCGTCCAGGGTCACGGCCATAATTTCATTGTCCGAACCGTTCTCTCCCTCTCATTCTATTCATTACGTGTCTACCGGCTACTGTCATAGCCCCGCAATTTCTTCGAATACCTTAATGGCTTTTGCGCGTTTCTTCTCTTGT